TAAGAAAGCAGTGATGAAGTTGGATAAAATCAAACTAATCATGATAATGTGTAAAAATAATAAATGTAGTAAATTTAGAGGCGGCTGCCTTTTGCTCTTGGAAAATTATGCCGCGAGAAGCTACTTAATTGAGATGGACACTTATATTCTCTTAAGATGACATTTATAATTGTTATTGTTATTATTATTAGTTGTTATTGTTATGATTATCTGTATTATTATTATCCATTATGGCGCAAAGACGTGCGTATTATGTTACCAATAAATACAGTACTCTAGCCGAGATGTCATTACAGCTAATATCAAATACGAGAAACAAGAAAATCTTGCTTTTATTGCCAATGACTTGTTATCAATAGATGAAACTTATATTCATTATGATATACCTGTAATTTAATACTGTCTTTTGTCGGGTTGTAATCATAACTCCTGTTATGATTCCCTCCCCACTGATTGAACCATTATTGATTTTCATTGTCTTGATTCCTAAAGGTGTACGGTACTATCGCTGGTGCACAGGATCTGCCAACGCTAACTCAATCACCATATTTAATCTATATTAATTTGGCCCAAATCCACAACATCCCGAAGATTTCAACGCAAGCGCTTAAAACCCTCCCCGTGTAATATACTTCAGTGTTTATTATCTTAAGATTTCTTATTTAATTGCGTCTCGCTGGTGTTAATGAGCAGTTTTGTTTGGTAAATGTCGTACAGTAATGGCCAGCATTTTGATGAATTATTCATTTTGTATTGTGCAGAAGCGTCGGTTTTCATACACTGACGTAGAACGACATCATTTCCTTCCCAATTTGTGTTAGTGTGAATTATAAGGGCAAAAAAAAATCTGACATCGCAAACACAGTCTGGTTCATTGAGTCTATCGTTGTGAGTGAATTTATATGATATTTGAATGTTGGTCAGATTCATTCCATGCCAGGGTATAACAGCAATACAGTGCATGGCAGTTTTGAAGTGCTTCGCCTTTTGTTTTGCTTTTGCTCTATGACATGAGATTTTCGAATGATTTAATAGCGATACGGATGTAACTTAAATGCAGTTACTGTAGCAACATTCTAAACTGCAGTATCAGTGGAATTTCAGAGCTTTTTTCTATGCTTTTGTGGATTGATTAATATAATCACGTGTATTGTTGATTGAAGTTTAAGTTCAAGTGTTTGATGTTCATAATTAAATTTTGGTTCTGATTTGAAGATCTTTCTTTGATTCTAATGGATGATGAGATGGTACTCATTTCCAAGTTGAAATATTCAGGTTTAATGCTTTTTGCAGGAAGTAGAAAAGTAGAAAATTAAAGATGACAAAAAAATAATTGAATACATTTCTTTGCTGTCATTGGATTTTGCATCTGATTGGCCAAGGAATTAACCAACACCAACGGACTCAAGACAAGTTTGGATATTATGAGTACTGCAATAGTCATTACAAAAATTATTATCAGTTTTTAGGTTGAGTATGAATTCAGTTCTCGCTGTTTAGTGTTTCTCCTGGTTTCCTTTTTATGCATTTGTTGTTGATTCATCTCTCAGAATTGTAGGTTAATTTCTTATTAGCTAGATATATTTGATTTGGAGTACACGGGAGATGTGTTCAAAGCTGATTACCACGGAATAGATCGGTTTATTACATTTGACGATTCATCCTCTACTCTTTTTCCAATGTTTTGTACGTAGCAAAAATTGACATTGATCTTTGCAATTTAAGATGTTTTTCAGTGTTCAGAAATCATTGCTGATGCTCATAACGTAAAACATATCTGAATCGTTTAAGGCAAGAAGTCACACATGCTACACTTTGCTTTGGATCATGTTAATTTTTAAGTGGTTCCTTGCTGAATAATTATCTACACATCATCTTTGTGTTTGTACATTGTAAGAAATTGAACACACTGGATCTTGCAGGAAAAAAAGAAAATTAATTGATAAGATTACGTTCATGAGCCTATGTTTTCAGCGATGAGATTTGTTTATTTTCTCCTGTCCTGATACATCGGTGATTGTGGTACTAAGTTGGAAATATTGCCTTGTGAAGTGGATTATTTTGTGGTTACTCTTCGATGAAGTACATTAGCGAGACAATGTTTGCTACACGCAATATTCATGATGAGTATTTGCGACTTCAACACAAGAAGCTACAGGATAATATTCTCAATGATATATTTTGTCATCTGAACAAGATGTTCCTCACGGATGATGGATCAAGTTACGACGAGGTTTGAAATGTCTAGAATTTTTAATAGAATCTTTAATAGTGTGTTTGAAATCAATCAGATCAAACTAAATCATTATTTATTGTGACTGAGAATTGAATTCTACATGTCTAAAATTACTATTTTTTTTTCATTTTTACTTTTTTTTTTTATAGAACTTCAAAGATATATTGAAAGTAGTTTTTCAGTATTATACTTAACTTAATGTTGACATTTAAAATATTGTTCAGTTTCACTTCTGCCAAGCTATGATGCTTCCTTATGTATATAAAAAAAATGTATGCCATTAGTGGAATGGTGAAACCTCAGGCCTCTAGATAAGGCTTTATTGGGTCATATTACCCTGGTGCCATGTAGGGCTGCATGAGGTGTTGGGGAAGCCTCTTCCACTCCAGGTTTTTGATGTTTTAATGGTGCATTTTGATGCTTCTTTATACGCTCAGCTCATCAAGAAGCCTAAGTACACCTACGGTTCCAGCGTGGTGTGTATAAGCATAGTTTTAAAAAAGTGACCCCAAAGTTTGCCAGTTCGATCCCTGTAACAATCCATAATTATTTTCTTTGCTTCATCTAATTTCCTGTCAGGTCATCTCTACATCAAAAATCAAATCTTTTAACTTTAAAAGAATAAATCATTAATGTTACCATTACCACCACTGTTTAATACAGTCGTTATTATCTCAATCCCATATGCTATGGAAATATGTCATTCTATTGTACATAATAATATATAATTCTAGCTTTCCTTCACGTTACCAGGCATGTGATGGATTCTAACTCTGTTCTTGGACATTCAGATTGCATAATTTGGCTTAGATGACATTGTTGTCTAATTTAAAGGATGTCATAAATTTTTGACATTTAGTTTTTTATTATACTGTAAGTTGAGATTCTTCTTCCATTTTTGCACATTTTATGACACATAAACCAGAAGAAAAAAATTACTTCTAGGTTGGATTAATTTTCTCTTATATAATTTTCCTTTTTAAATTATAGTATTTGCATAATAATTTTGACCTAATTGTTATTGTTCCAGTATCACATGAGAAATATTTCGATGTGAGAAATATTTAGTAAATAAATTTTATTTATTTATACAAATATGATTTAGATAAAAAATATGATTTAGGTAAAAAAATGCATGTTAGAAGTTGTATTATGAAATTAGACAATTTCAGTGCATAAACTGCCAAAAATTGGCAACCATTATTTAAAAAAAATCAATTATGAAAAAAGTATGAATATTTGTAGTGGGCAGGACGAAAAGTACAGAAGTAAATACACTTAGTAGTATGTTGCTATTGTTGCTATGACGTTAATAGATTAATTTTTTTTTTACTATAGAATACATTGTGCAGTTTGTTGTATAGATGTACTCTCTTAAATCTCTATGATAATTCAATTCTAATACATATTTATGGATTTTTCATATTCTGTTTACTTTCACCTCTTCTAATGAAGGAAGAGTAAATATGCAAATTTAAGTAAATATTTAATCTGAATTTGGAAATCGTTGGAAATATAGTAAATATGGACTTTGTTAATGCATTGCTTTTTAGCCGAGCCTTTGTTGATCATGGGTAGGTGGTTTGGTGTGGAGTGGAGATTAGAGTGTTGACTATAAGAAACATCAATGCTCATCTTTATTATGAAATTGACACATCAACAATTAAATACAAAAATTATAAATGACAATACAATGAAGAACTAAAAAAATAGGTTAGTAGCATGTCTAAAGAGAATAATGGGCTGTAACTTTAAGCCTGACACCTAAATGAATTCTCTATAAACCACTATAACCACGCTTAAATTTATATACATTTTTCGATGTATGAAAGCAGCAATAAATATAAATTTATACATGTACATACATCTAGTAATGTTAATCTCATATCAATATTAAAGTGTGTTAAATTTATATTGTAACACCTTCATTAAGAAATGGAATGCAGATAAAATGATTGAACGAATGAACAACCAGATTAGTTTGAAATAACTTACTAACACCGATGTAGGTCAAATGTCATTTAAGATTCAATCAGCACGTCGATTTTATAAAGCGCCATAAATATAGCCACTTTATCTATCTAGCTTTTATTTTTGTGATGCACTGATGACATACACGTTTCTAGCTTTGCACTCACTAGATCTCATTTGTTAAATATAATTATGTGTAAATGATAGACCCAGTTTAAATCACGCACGTAGCAGACGCAAAAACATAGCTTAAGGTTAGGAGTAAAAGATGATGAATAATCTTCAAAATTATTTTGAAAAGGTCTTTGGATTGAGTGTTTCTGTTGCTAATATGAATTTTCTATTGAAAAAAATTTATTAAGAATAGTTTTACGTACGGTTAAAATAAAATTATATTATGAAGCATGCAGAAATATACTTTTTCAATAATAAATAAAAGTTTCCTTTGGAAGTCCATGTCTGTCATAGGTTTCACTGTGATCTAGACAGCTTCATCGGCAAATTGATTGTGGCTAATAGTTTGTCACATGGTTGCTCCACGATATCCAGTAGATTGTATCCAGTGCCCCTATTTTAAGAGTGCGAGCTATGGATATATGCAATCAACAATGTCAAGTATCTGCTCCTACATTATAGACTATATAATATTTCATATACTTTCTTTGTGGAACCTAACATAATAACATGTTATTATTCCTTTAAAATGTTGAAGTGTATACAAATGAATGTATAAATTTTATGCATTAATCACCTTTTCTTTATTGTTGTCTTATTGTTTATATTTTCTTTTCAGAACGGCCTGAATGCTCTGCATCTGAGTTCTAAAGAAGGTCATTTGAATATCGTGACAGAATTATTGAAAAGAGGTGCTGATGTTGATGCAGCAACTAAGGTAATTAATGGGGGGAAAAAACAAATTGTGAACTACAATCTCTTTTTTATCATGAAGTTTCTCTTACATTGGAAACAATAGGACAGTAGGAAAAATAAAACAACTGGTCAGGCCTTTGAAACCACCCTTTTATAGGACCAGCACGAAGCTAATGATAAAGATAATGACACAGGCTGCATGTCCTCCCCCATACCCACAACCAAAAAATGTTTTTAAGTAATCCATTCATGTTTTCCACTCTGCTATCATTTGTGTACACTAATTGCAATGTAAGATCCTCATCCTAAAGCATGCGAATCCAACTATGGATTTTGTACTTCAGCAATAAAGGTTAGTGTATGTGTATGTAGTGGGATTTATATAGCACATAATACCGAAGTCTTTATGCGTTTAGTGAACCGGAAGAAAAAGAAAGGGAAACCTAAACCAAGATCTATACTAAGCTAACCAAAAAACCAAAAAGAACAACACAAGCAGAGGAACCAGAATGACAGCATCATTCTCCAGCAGTTTAAATATACTGACAAATAGTAGTTGGCAGGCTCATATAATTTACAGGTGCACAAACGAAACCAGTATCTGAGTTACCTAGCCTAGAAAAAAGTAAAAGGAAAGAAAAGAAGAGAGAGACGATAATGCAATGCAAAAAAGTTGGGTTTTTTTTGCTCTTTCCTTGAATGGAGTAAAAGATGGCGTTTCACAAATGTCCAGTGGCAAAGCATTCAAGATTTGTCTAGTGGTTTCTCTTACCTGTAATATTTTGCTGTAGCCCATGGGAGAAGCTTGCCTATCAAACCCAGATTCCTTGGTTCAAATCATGGAGAGGTAGAATCTTCTTTTTTTTCTTCTGATGACATAGCAAATCTATACAACTCACGAGCCTCATAATTGGTATAAATATAGCATGGCATTATACATGGTATATCTTCATCCAGTAATTGACTAGTTCCTCCTTTTTGAATTTGAACTAAATATAGATTGTCAGAATCGCTGTTCCATTTAACTCAATAAATGCAATCGAACTACAATTAATTAGGCTGATGTGGAATAAATTAAAACTTTAATAAATGGATCATGGTGCATTGAGTATGACCATAAACTTTCTTATGCTTATTTTTATATCTTATATATAAAAGCTATTTTTCTAGAGGCTGTAAAAATAAAATTATTAATGAAACAAAAGTTTTATCAGGTACTGGTAATAAAGATTAAAAAATTGCTTGTTCTTGTTGCCATTTTTTTCTGTCTTGTTTTTGTCAATATTATCATTTTATGTTATGAATGTTGAATTATCCATTTTAGTATAAATTTAGTATTAAAATCATAATACTCCTAAAATTTGTATTTTAAAATAGCATCAATCATGACTGTACATAATATGCATTACCATAATGTACTCAGCAGGAATTTGTGCGAATTGACTTCATTAGCCATATTATATTACCCCCAGTTTCAAATTGATTATTTTAGTCAAAAGATGATTTATGAACCCTTACAATACACTTGACGTGTTATTTTCCTGGTTAAATAACTAAAGCAATTATCCTCTGCCACTTTGTGTACTTAAGGATTACCGCCGACGATGTAAAGTATTGCTAATATGAAAAATCACCTGTTTTCTAGCAGTACATTTAGCTTGAAAATCTCCTTCACTCATCCCCAAGCTGAGACCGATTGTGAAATTCAATTAGCAGAACAAGACGTAAGATAACTGGTATGACAGCATATCTGTAGTTATTGACATATTTTTGCAGAGTATAAATCTATGCTTGAATATTATCCCATGCTCGAGAATAAGCCCATGGATCTACTATTTGATTTGAGATGCTAGGCTATGTCCGAGTCCAGGGTGTATGTGAGGTCTCACTACAAAATGAGTCTCATCGTTAGAAAATCAAAAAATGAGTTAATATTACATTTTGGTAGACCACATTATAAGCTTTAATTTGGTCTTTAAATGGCTTCCCTAGGATAAATAGATCCAGAGATGTTAGCATTTAAAGATTAGGTGTATGAGAACCAGGTTTTGAGAAAATCAGCCTCAAAGATAAACTAACCTGTACAAATAATAGGACAAGAATTATAGAATATGCGAAGACAACACTGCTGATAGTAAGAAAATTCACTTAAAAAATACACAATCATAAAATATAAGTATCAAGTTATTCAAAAACATTAAAATCAAAATTTTGTAAAAATGTTGCCTTTGACCTATTTTGGTGAATATCTCAATATGATTTCACCAACGATTCGTCTCATTTCGTGGTGAGACCTCACATATTTCAACTGCTAAATGCAACTGAAATGACGGGCTAGTGTTTCACACAAAGGGAACTCGCCATCCCAAAACCAGCATCAATGGCCATAAACATTATATTATATTCATATTGTCCACATTATATCCTTTAAAATGAAGGATTTACTGGAATTAGCTTCTCTACTAAAGTATAAAATCCTGTTACATTTTTTTATACTAATTAATAATAATTATAATAATAGTGTAGTTTTATTTAGCTACATATCCATCTAATATAAGATGCTCAGGGCGCTTGATATGTGGACTAGGAACTCGAGCAATGATTTCCTTCACCCCTAAGTGTCCCTTCGTGTCTGTGCTACCCGGTAATCCGGTACCAGCAACTCCGTCGTCCACCACAGGGGGCTGTCTGTTACAGTACATGGGGTATCCCCCTACTCAAAGGTACTGGGTTTTTCATAGTGTACTCAAGCCATTGTATACACTGGGCCTACGGTTTACAGACCTTATATCTGAGAAGACTTGTTCCATCACCAGAATGATAGGCGAGCACGCCGTTTGAACCTGCGCCGATATTGTGGCTGTAGGTTGCAGCACTCCTGCTATTAGACCGCTCGGCCATATGACTCAGTATAAACATTTAGTGACAGTACACCATTTTTGGCATGGCAAGCCTCAAATTGCCTTCTGTATAGTCCCAAGTATAAACCCACCCACCCCCTCTCCCCTAATTTTCAGTGGATATCCTAGGCAGTCCATTCCCCTTCCTTTCTGCTTGTACATGGTATGACTGTGTATATTGAATGTGTGTAGTGTTTTGTGCTTTACTGAATTATTTGTGGACATGAGAAGATTGAATTCTCTAGTTATTTATGAACTACTAGTGCCTATCTATTATTTACATAGAAATGCATTTCCTTTATGCATAATTTCCCTTGTGTATTGTCATTAAATAATAATACTGTACTGTGGTTCCTCCTGGCCTGCAGAATGACCAATTAAAATCAACATGTATTCAGCTGGTTCTAATCTAATGATTCACAGGCTCTAGCCCTCCTAGAGAAACTACATAAACTCTTCCTAGCCAAGCAAAAAACGTATTTGTCCTAATACTACCCTGGAAAATATTCACTGAACCATATATATCATTTCCCAACCTATCGAAAAAAGTTTTGAAGTTTATGTTTCGGTATACTGTTTCCTATTGTAGCTCAGCAAAATAAATTACCAGTTTATAAGTCATATAATTTCTTTATTATGCATTTGTATATAAACAGAAATGTAATTTGAAACTGGCATACTGTACAGTAAAATTACATACAATGAACAAGAAAACATCAATTTATGGAATAAACAATTTAACATTAATGAAATAGAAGACGTGAAATTTTCGAATTAACTATGAAAATATTCTTTAAAAAATATCATAAACTATTAAATTATAATAAATGATAAAAAAAAATTTTTTTTAATTATAATATAGAATATAATATATATATTTGACGACAACATTATTACAACTTCCTTACTGATTCTTCCTGAATTAATTGCTGATTAGGAAATTACTCTTGTTTTATAATAATTTCAGTTAATATCTTTATCACCAGCTTCCTTTAATCTAGAACAAACCTTTGTTATATCTGGCTTTCATACGGATATGAAGATTAATGCCTTAATCATAGCCAATCCATTTAAAAAAAAATATTTTTTCTATAATTTTTAATGTAAAACATACATTAACTGTTTCATGTCTATCTTTAGAACATGTTGACTTGGATGGAACCTCTTACATCAAATTTCCTCAAAGTGCTAAAAATAAGTTGTATATTAAACTTTGTTAATGATTTCATTTCAACATGGCAACCATGGAAAATTTCAAACTTTATTCATTTGTCATCAGGCTGTGATTGTTTCAACATGTTTACTCAAACATTAACTGTAGGGGAAGGCTATTGATTAAAATAGTATTTTATTAAAGAAAAAAATAACATGGTGAAGCAAGGCTTTGCATTTTATAATACAGTGTATAACAAAATATATATTATCTGTAGACTGAACATTATCACATCATAAGAAAATATCTGATTTATGTTAACCTTCAACGATAATAATTAAGACAAACATTTTTGCATTAAAGTGACGACATAATATCAATAATGAAGTAAAAACTGTCAATTCGCCTTCCAATTTGAGACCTCTTTAATTTCAAGACCTCTCTACTTCGAGACCACTTTTAAAAAGAACTAAATAACAACCTTAAATTCAATCTTTTAACACAAAGCTATATTTTCTTAAATTGCAGGGTGAACAAGTATATAAATGAATGATAAAACATAATTTCATAAGATTCTGATGTTAGTAATACGATAGCATGCAGTGTAATAGTGTAACAACATAATTTCTCTCGAGATTTTTGCTGTTATGTTATTGTGAATTTTTAGTTGTCTCCTGAGATTTTTGTTTACATTCAAGATAATTAGTATATCTCAGTACCTGATTCTTGCATTCTAAATTTGGAATCAGATGGGTTTTGTATGTGTATCTACATTTTGATGCATGTAATGAAAACATGTGGTTCGTAAGACTACTACTGTATGAAGTAATCCAAGATGCAGTTGGAGCTCTGGCGAAGATTCTAGCTGTCCAATTCCAATGTCCTGGATTTAAGAGTGGAAAATAATGATGAGTTTTTTTTTTTTTGCTCAACCAAAGAAATCTCCAAGATTTATAATTTAGTACTTGTTTATAGTAACTACTAGTTGATATTCTATGAGTTAAGCCAACCTATTCTGAGGAATTTGAAGATGGGTACACAGTTCCCTAAATGGATGACCCACAAGCCATAAGGAATAGCGAATAATATGCTCTATAATTTATTGTCTGTTTCTCATTATTGTATTTTAGTACAACTCTCATTCATCCATTAATCCCTGATTAAAGTGTAAAATATCCTGAGCTTCCCAACATATTTTTGCACTGTATCCTATTGCCTTGCTGCATCTTAAACACCTTCTTGATACAAAGTTATACAAATTTTGCACTGTAGATGTACCAAAATTTTGTTGTTGATTGCCACCATTACCTACAGTAAAAAATTATGGTGTGTTGAGAAAGCTCATTTAACCATTTTTAAATAGTGACTCCAAATTGGTATCCCTGTAATTCTAATATTACATATATAACATGAACAAAGAAGCCACATTTTAGTGTAAACTAAAGTGTACCAGATGTTTGGTAGACACTGAGTTATTATGGTCATTAAAAATCGGCATATCAGATCAGTAGTTTATTTCTGTTGCAATAATGTATTCTGTTTTCTATATTTATTTGTATTTCAGAAGGGAAATACAGCACTGCATATTGCTTCACTAGCTGGACAGTTTGGAATTGTGAAAGTACTTGTCAACTATAGTGCAAATGTCAACATACAATCCCAGGTAAAGCAGCTACAATATTTAGATCAATTATAATTCAATTCATTTTACATCATTTTCATAAGATACCACTAAATGGTAGTAAAAAATGATTAAGTATAAAACACATTCCTCAAGAAGTTAGATCTTGGAATAAAGCTTTCAACAGGAAATTATTGCATTCTTTTTCAAAGGTGAACTGCTATGAATATTTCACAGAAATAGATAAAACTAAAACAATATTCTCAATTTGCTTCTGTAATGAAAGAAACATTTGTCAATAATATTTTTTAATATTCATGTTTTTCTGCCTATATTAATGTGATCATTTTTTTTCCAAAACAGTAATAAAACAACAAAAATCTGATTGAACATTAATGTCACAATTTCTATTCAGCACACTTTATATTAATACTCTTCAGTGACCCTGTTCTTCATTATTAATCACCTTTTCTCACCTGTCCTAGTATAGAGAAAGACTTGTTAATTATCATCTGAGAACTTAAACTTTGTACTACCCTCTTTTATTTGTTATTTTTATGATTAATACAACTTAAAAGGCCAATAACAATTATCATTTGAGAACTTACACACTTCCCTTGATTGTTTACTTCCAAAGAACATTTTAATTATGTCTTCCTAATTATCATTTGAGAACTTACGTGTAATGTCCTCTTTACTGTAGTTTAATTCATGGAATATATTAATTTATATGAAAGGCTACTTTAAATTTATCATCTGGGAACTTATGTGTTGTATTGACTTCTTTAGGTTGATTTAATATTGAATATTCATTTTAACTGTGCTTTTTAATTACCAACTGGAAACTTAAATTGATTCTGTCCTCCTCAGCCTAATTCTAAATATCCTAATTAAGATTGTATTGTATTCTGATGTAAATTCCTGAATTAATCTTTGTTGTTATGACTTGCCATAAACTTTAGAAAACCTACATATTTTTAATCCTAATGGAACAAATGCAGAAATTCAGGTGTAATAAATCAAATGCTAAATTTGACACAGTTCTATAAAAAATATTCTCAAATATCACTCCGTTTAGATTTATCAACTCTGTTAACTTATTATTATTCATACATATATCAATGATGATTTGAAAAATAATTTGAAAATTATGCATATTTTCTTCTTTTTTTTTTTTACGTTTTTCCCAAATTTTTTTTTACGTTTTTCCAAAATTTAGAATGGATTCACTCCTCTATATATGGCAGCTCAAGAGAATCATGTCGATGTTGTCCAGTTTCTTCTAAAAAGTGGTGCCAACCAAAATTTGGCCACTGAGGTTAGTAAGGAAGACAAGTCCTTGGCTTATTTATTGAATACTCCACCAATTTTTATCCTCTTTTCTATTATTCTTCAGAAATAATTATTATATATCGCCTTTATCCTATAATATAAAAGCAGATTTTGTGATGATTGTGGTATATATGTGGTAAGGTATCGGAAAAGGTATTGGTAGGTGCAGGAAAAGTGGCATAGAATAAGAAGTATAGTGCTCATCATCAAATATGGCATGAGAGTAAGTTCAAATCCTGTTAAAGATCAGAAATCCCTCAGATTCACAAACATCGTCTCTAACGGTTATACAGTGCATTTATACAAGGTCATTTATTAATTTAGGCCTAGTGAAAACAAATATTAGTTTTCTCATCCAAACTCCCTTTTAGGACCATCAATGCTGGTAACACCGAATGCGATCTACATAGTAAAGTAAACAATTAGAAAATTCACCAAACTACCTGTAACATGTTGTTTCTGTGACAACATATTGTTGAAAGACAAGCAGTTGAGAATGGAAATCTAATTTATTTTTCTTTGACTTGGCCTTAATAATTTATTTAGTAATCTGCCTGAACTGCAGTTATGGCGGATGGGTTGTGATATTTTTTTAAAACTAATTCCGCAATTTCTCATTAATTTCTATTTTTATCGTATCAGCTCATCTCCACGCTATGATAAACAATAATTACTCTTAATTTCTTTTTTGATATTGAAATTCTTCAGAAATCCATTCTTCATCATCATCATAAATACATTTTTTCCGTATTAAATCCTTTGGGATTTGGAATCCTGCTTAAACCCTCCTACACTGTTGATATCAAATTCTCTCTGATGATTAGATTCAAACATTTCCCCCAAAAAAAAAAAAAAAAAAAAAAATCAAAATTTACTTTATTTTCTGTCTGAGAATGATGTGGATTTAAAAAGAGATTTTGTATATTCCTACTTTGTTTTGATTTCAATTCAACAGCTATAAGCAGATTATTAATCTGATGATGGTCGGCCTTAATGCTTCCCTAGTTATGTTTACATACGTGTTGGTGTGTGTTTGTATTTGATAGAGAAGCCCCATGTAATGATTTACTATAAGATGTTATGAAGAGTATTATAGTTCTTAACGCATCGTTTTGTATTAAGCCTCTATGCTTTACTAAGCCAGAGATATTAAGAAGGGACAACTTAAAAGATTTATTTTTTTATCTTGTTCTATTTTGATTTTGAATATCAAATTTAATTCATAATGTTCGTTAGCATATTAAACTCAAACAGTATATGAATGGCTAGGATCAAGAATGGTCTAACCACAAAAGTTTTTTTTTTTTTTAATCTATACAAAATAATTTATTTTAAATATTATACAGTGGAAAATGAATGGCATGATGTTTATAAGAGGTAATACAATTTGAGTAATTATTTAGACATTTTTGAGTAATATGTACTTTAATAACATCATAAATTATTATCTTAAAAAGAATGGTTTTGGGGTCTAAATACTTTATTGCATTAATTTTTTTAATATAGTTGAAAATATACCTTAAGAACAATTTGGCAATTTATACAAACACATAAAATGTAGAAGACATGACCAGCAATATATTAATTTGATATTATAAAAAAAAGTAAACCAATACCTGTAGTTCTTAGGTATAATGAACCCACTCCCTTTCTTTAGAATGAACATTCTACATTCTATGTTTTTTAATTTCCTCAAACAACAATTTTCAAAATGATAAACATGAAATACATTACATTGAACTTAGCGTATAAAAGGTTGTCCAGGCCTATCATATCTCTTGGCCAACTAAATGTTATGTATGATTGATAATAAGGTTATTTTGCCAAAACCATCCATGCAGCTGCCTGAGAAAACATATTATCCCCACTTAACTCAGCAGGTATTTCATTTAACCATGTTTCTCCAATGTACTACTTTTTAGATTTATTGGTGAAAAAATATATATTTAGCATAATGGTATTAATTCAATACATTGAATGATATTTATACAATACAGTACAATGCAATATAATATATTCTTTTAAGATATGGTTTTCTCTCTATAAAAAAAAGTAAATTTACAGTATGTCAATTGCATCAAATTATTAAGTTAATTAATTGCCTACTTTAATTTATGACTTTTGTTAATCTAAATTTTCATTAATGTATCTGAAATGAAAGTGCTTGATTGGTGATTGATAATGGGAGTGAATTACTATTAGGTCCCCTGGGTGGGGATGATTATTTATACATTATAAAACCCCCAAAAACTTGTTATATTTGCTCATTTAAAAGTATACCACCATGTATGTTATGTATGTAGTGTGAAAATTTGAAAAGCTCGGCACTTTACCTACTGCAGTACTTGCTTTAACAATGTTGTGGAGCTTTCCTGAGTGAAAATATAATTACCTGCGTTAGCACGAAAATGAACATTTAGTCCAAAACGTCTAATCCACCTGCTCTCTACACCATTCATTTTCACTTGCAACTCACATAGTTGTCTTCAATCCCTTGCATGTGGTAAAGTACATACTGGCTTGTTAACTTAATAATAAAAGTTTTGATGATGATATTTTTTAATATGCACTTGACTACAAATATTTAAAGATGTGTATTGTGAAAGATTGTGGAACAGCTGTATGGTTTTTGGCATCCGTTTGAAAGATCGTGGTTCGAGTTTGAGGCTGTTCACTTTCTTTTGTGTCCTTGGGCAAGGTACATATCCATGCTGTCTTTGTATGTTTCACATTGTTACCCCCGACATTGAATCAAACACTTGTGAAACACATTCTCACTGTAGCTCTCTGCGGAAGAATTTCATAATTTTAGAGAGCTATTAATATAAGTACATTGGCAATAAGGCTTCCAGGTATTAATACCATTGGAGTGTTGTAATATAAATGGGGGAATATTAAAGACAATATGCCAAGAGATGTAGCTGTGCTTTAACAGATAATTGTTCTCAAAAAAGAAAAGAGGAGAGAGATAGACATAAAATCAAAATAAAATAAGTACTTCTATTAATAAAGTCCCCGAAAAATATCCATTTAATAGGGGTGTCTCCTAGGGTTGTCCCAAAGGAGTGGTAGGGGTCTACTGTATAAATTGATGAGCTAGAGCATGAAGCATAAACAAAGTGATGTTTGCTTTGATATGGAGGGAGAAGAGACAACATAGAAAGTGCCTTGCCCAAAGATACAAATAACATAATTAGACTTGAACCTGTTTTCTTTTGACTTAAAGCCCAGACTCGTACCACAGTGCCACATTCATTCATATCCTAATATAATCCTAATGATAAGGATACTGATTACAAGGGTAAAGTACTTAGGCCTATATATGCTTAAGACACAAAGTTGGGGATTAGTACTATAGCCTTGTACATAAGATACTTGTCTACTAGTACCATAATAATGTGTTCGATCTCAGGATTTTTCTTATGATCAGGAAGAACAGTACACTTCCCTCCTTAATGTCCCCATAACAAGATAAGAGTACATGTATTAGCACAGATACATAGAATCTGTGTTGTAACGCTTAATGCAAGTTTGTAATTGGCGAGTCTACTCTCCGTTGGATGAGGAGAAAAATCTTAGAGCTTTTACCAAGATCGTGTAAATCACATTCTTGATGCAATTCGAGAGTCTTGTTTCGAGAAATGTAAAAAAAATCTTGAATGAAATGATGCATGACTCTTAAGTATCTACTTAGATCTCAGTTTGTAAATAATGCCACTGTTTAAACTTTGTGCGGTGTTTACCTTTAGTCCACGTATATTAATCTCTTAGTCATGTACTGTATTGCATTGACATCTGAGTTCTATTCCTAATTGTAAATGGACTCAATATGGCCGTTCTTTATAGAATGCTCTTATACATTAGTAGCATTATGATAGTTTAAAAAAATGCTAATATTATACAATTATAGAGTGTAATATTCTTTTGTCGGATAGTCAAATATGCTGCACTTTGTATAAAAAAAACTCACGTGCACTTTCTTCCGTTTATTCTATGCTCGCCTTTCTCCTTCGGGAATATTCTTGGATACAATGTTTGTATCCATTAGGATGGCTTTCGGCCGTTGGACGTGGCAACACAGCAGGGCCACCACGTTATTGTGGCCCTGCTTTTGGAGTGTCAGCACTCCAAGCCTACGTCACTGCCGCAACCGCAACAACAGATCTCCCAGTCAGAATCGGAGGTGAGAGGTCGTATAATGCACGGGCTGTTTATTTTTTTGTATCTTTGTTGGCACTTTGTGTATATCCGCTTTATATGCATGTTTATGTCGTCTCAATGTTTATATAACTTCAACTGCTACATGTACCTAAGTAATATCCTATTGTAAAGTATATAATGTAAAATTCCAAAATAATTCCTAGACAGGATTCAATCTGGCTTTTCCTTTTTATAGTTGGTGCTGCAACTAAATTACAATTTTGCGATGCTTTTATGATTGTATATTTTGTAGTTTTTCTTGTCCTAAAGTTTGAATACTCATCATAAACATTGGAATTCTGTTGTTGAATCACCACGTTTCAAACCTGTAATTGGCAAATATGAAGGGGAAAAAAAAAAACGGAAAAATTAACAATGTGTGCATTCTTAAGTTTGATGAACTTTTGTAAGTTGAAAGATGAACTGAAGCCTGAAGCAACTCAACCATATGTTAAAGAAAAACATCTAGGAGTCCTTTACAGTTCAATGATATAATAATGAGGCTAGCTATCTATGGGATGCATCCATCTTACAAAAGTTACTAGCTTAAACATTTTCCCTCTTCAAAAAGCAAGCAAACTTTAATTTTTTTGAAAATAATTTATTTTTCAAAAATTTTACATAAAATGAATAGAATTACAAGTCAAGCTTATAACTGCTTTAAATGCCAATTAGGGAGGGGTGTGGGGGAGAAACTGCAGCGATTGTACCCTGTTTAGTCCCAAGATCTGGTGCCTGTTAATAAATAATAATGATATTAATAAAACTAAAGACAACATTTCTAATGTTTAATGGAAAATGAAATAGCAACGGCTGGAAAAACAATTATACATTATACAAATTAATCTCTCATCCTAAGTGAGCAGGAAGGAAATGGGATGGGGACACTTATTCAGTATCAAATTAATTTGTCAATTTGGTTGAGTAAAAACAAAAATTTAACACAAACTTGAATCCTATGCTTTGCATGTTTGGTTGTTTATTTTCAATGTTGTTTTTGTATTCATAAAATTAATGTCATTGTTCATTTTGTAAGTAACATTTTAAGTAACATAATAGGAAAGGTTACATTGTGATGATATTTGGTGCATGCTTAGGAAATAAAATGTTGAAATTTTAAAAAAAGCATACTAATTGAATAATTATTACTAATGATCATTAAATGAATATAAAATTGTTAAATATTATAGGAAATTATATAATTATGCTATATATTGCATCCAAAAATTGCAAATATCTTTCTTTTTTACTAACATGGTAACTGGTTTTGCCATTCATACAGTTATTTTAATTATAATAATATAGATATCTGAATACATTTGTGAAATATCTTTATGTATTGTTTATTTCAAATTGACAAAACCTCTGGATCGTATTAGCAATATGAGCTACTAACTAACTGTCTTTGGTTGTTGATGGTGTTAAATTATTAATGTATTATTATTGATTATATTCTTTATTTTATTCAGGTATATTGATAAAGAAGTTAAATACATCATTCTGTCAATTTATTCAATAACAAATGTTTTATGAATAATAATAATAGGTTTTTGATATAGCACCATATAATCTTCTCTCGGAGTGCTATTATGAGTATTACACACAAATGTATTAATGAATAAAACGACAAATTATAATAGTGAAAAGATGTTTTTTTAGGCGGTTCTTAAACACAAGGATGTGGCTTCCTTATTAAAATTTGATAGCCATTTTTAGTGTAATGTTTCTTCCTTTAAAATGCCAGTATTGTTACTAAATGTATTCAAAGCAAAACAAAACAGAATAATGTTAAACTTAATTTCTGTCTTACTTGTTTTATTTTTAGCTCCTTAGAATGAAATGTAGCTTCTGTATGCATTGTCTATTCTTTCCATAATAATTTATTGTATTCTCTATGCTAACTGCTGTAAAAAGCAATCAATCTTTCTTTACTTATTCATTTATATCCCGTTATAGATCAACTCTCTTTGTAGATCTATATCCGTTTGGTATGCTCACTGTAATTAAGATGTGCATGTATTTTCATTCACAGTGTAATAATTGTGTTATTTCGGCTTGTGTGTTTTTAAAATTTAGTAACTGTTGTGTTTATCTCGTGCGAGATTAAGGAAGGTAAATTAGAGAGGATGAGTTGTAATATCTACACGCTTCATATTGCACGTTAGTGAGTTTCCTCATTGCTAACAGTTGTGAAATTATATTTGCTGCTTATGCTGAAACGTAACTTCTTAGTTAAAAAAACAAAAAACAAAACATTAAATGTGTAGCATAGTATGCTATTGGCTAGTTACTGCGTGTTCACTGAAGCATGAAGATTCTTGGGTTCCTGGCTCAATTCTTTCCAGATGCAGCTCTCCCTGTGTTTTAGTTTGATGGTTAAAATGCAAGTTACGATAATGCACTCTAAAGAGATGTTTAAAGCCATTTGTCCCATGTGCATAAAGACACGCGTGCATGTACTCTGCTACATTCATCTGGATATTTACCTCTACCCTGTAGACGGGTTTGGGTATATATGATAAAATAGTCTTGTAAAAAGAATCTGCGATTCGTTGTCTGGATACTTTCTCAAACAAAGATATTTGGTTGGGCTTTAGTGAATTATGGTGTTAGCTATAGTTTGTGCTTGATAAGTATTACAATTAAGGAGCATGGGGAAAATATTATAATGTGTTGAAATGTGGATGTTGATGAAAATAGCTTTAAAAATGTATAGGTAAACCTCTTCTGTTTAGTATAGTATATATTTTGCAATGGTAGTGGTAACATGCTTGCTTTCTGAACATTATAGTTAAATATGAAAATAGCCATGCATTTCTAATTATCATTCATATTTTTTCAAATGGTATATACTGTATACATTTTTTTGTGGTTATGAAATTACTTTATGTGAGTTCTTATAGATGTACAAATATTTTCATCTAGTTTTCTAAGTGTATATAAAATAATTGTTGTTTAATATAAAAAATTACTTTATTTTGCTAAAGAGAAGTCTCTCTATATAGATGTAAACTTCTAAAATTATCGATACTTGATTGATTTAAGTATCCAGAGTATAGAAACTAACATTTATGTACAGAAAGAACCATAAACAGTGTGATAGAAATGCTTTCTTGGATAGTGGCTGTGGAAACCTAAAAGACTGGATTTTCTAATAATGTATAAATTACAGTAATTTTGAAGTTTCTAAAGTAGCTAAAAGCAGTTTCTCCTCATGCGGTTCTTAAATGGCCAATGCGATCATCCAATTTCTACGACTACAATAATTCAAATCGAAGCTTAAGAAACAAGTTTCCAAATTAACTAGGTTGAAAAAGTGAGGGTTTTTTTGGGTGGTTTTTGTCATAAAGACCAGTTTAGCTTTCAGCAAATGATTTCAAGTAGAATTGTGGGACTGAAATTTGTATAATTTCTCAGGTGAAAGAAGAAAGTACAGTATTTTCTTTTTCTGTATCTGTTATTTCATATTATGCCAATCGAACTACTTTTCTAAAATAATTGTTAATTAAAAAAGAAAAACTGTTCAAACTTTGAATTGTTCATAATTTATTTAAATAATCAAAATAAAGAGGCTAATTTTAAAGCTTCCTGTGTGAGACCAATCAAATAATATATTTTCAGATAAAATCAATTTATTTTTTTTTTAATCAAAAAATATAGCAAATGATTTAAATACTAATTCATATTACCTCAACTTAACCAAGTAATGTATTTCTTACTTGTATTATTATTTAACTGTATATTACTATCTGTGTATATCGGTATGTGATTTTATTTTGGTTTATGGTTTAACATTTTAGTATTCGTATGTACTGTAATATGTGTTTTTATTATAAGACCAACAGTGATGATGTCATTCATTTAAAAAAAATGGTATTCCACAAATAAATATCACAATTGCAGTTAACATAAATTCTACATTGATTCAAAGCATTTAGGTGAACAACCAACATCATAACACTAAAACTATCTCAAAAACAGGAAACCTTTTTTTGCAGAGACTAATCCTGATGTGTGTAGCCTTATTGAAGGTGAAATAATTAATTCAATTATTGATTCAGCCATAAAGAATTTAAAATATACAATAAAATCATTTCAAAAGATGGCAAGGAAATTAAAAATATACAATAAAATCATTTCAAAAGATGGCAAGGAAAGTCAAATTACTAGCCCACTAGCCTGACAATCCAAACAAAGGGATTAACAAAATCACATTTGAAAGGCCGCAGAATAATTTTTACAAAATTAAACATTAAATTGAAACGTATGCTACACAAACAAACAAAATTGATTTCTATTCAGTACCTATTTACTTATGAAATTAGTAACATTAAATTAGATTATCATTATTATTGTTATGCAACTTCTCAAATAGATCTATTTCAAAATTTTAAGTCAATGTGATAGCCACTAAGCGAGAAGTCATACACGTTCTTGTGACACATAGTTGAAAATATTTCTCGTCACGCTAACAAATGGATTACACATTCATCGCGTCCTTTTTGAGAACTCGGGGAGGAAATGAGAGGTTGATATCCTATATCTGATGTCATTCTATGTATCGTTTTCTAGTCTTTTACAAATTGAATTGGGAAACAGGCATTCACAAACAAAAAAGATTAAATCTACTTGCGTCTCAACTCAAGGCAACTCTCCCGTAAAATGATTTCACTTTGTTGCTTTTAAATACTTCCGCAAGGGCAGATATATGAGTCAAAATGAAAAATAAAACAAAAAAGCCTTAACGTTATTAATTTACCTTATAAATGAGCTACCAAGTAATCTTTTGAATGAAGAAAAAACAATAATGCCTAAAAAAATGGGGTTTTTTTTGTTGAATAATTATTTATTTACGTAAAAAATATCATACTACAATTTTGTTTATTGTTACTTTTATATGTTGATGAATAAATACTGTACTATTATCGTTAATTTTAAGTTTAGCTTTATTTTCAAGATTTTATATGGACAAACCATTTAAAAAATATTGTATTAAAGAAATTAACAAATTTTGACTTACAACTATAGGAGCATTTTGAGGTTGATTAATATTTTACCTGGACACAAATATTTGAATTCTTGCGTCAACCTTTACTTGTCCCCAAAACGAGCAAACTTGTATCAAAATAACATATTGTTTCAATTCTATTATTGGCAGCACCGCATTTTAATGTGATTAGAGTAACATATCTTGATATGATTCATGCTGTATCCGCTAGTACAAGGTTTTCACTCTTTTGTTAATTTATTTCATTTTTATGTCATTTCCTCCAAAATAGCTAGTACAAAATGTAAGTAATGATAACACTGTGGTAATATAGTAAATAATTATCAGTATTTTTTCGTTGATGACAAAGATAACTTTCTTATTCCCATAATCTTTTATAAACACTGTTTTTGCCATATCTTACCATTAATTCATTGCGATCACATTTCAGGATGGGTTTACCCCCTTAGCTGTAGCCCTGCAGCAGGGGCATGATAAGGTTGTAGCCGTTCTATTGGAGAACGATCGTGCTGGTAAGACTCGTCTGCCAGCTCTTCACATCGCTGCCCGAAAAGATGACTCAAAAGCGGCTGCGCTTCTACTTCAAAACGAACATGACCCGGACGTGACCTCAAAGGTATGTGAAAACCGTATTTACTGCTGCTTACAAAAGGGTAATACTAATGAGAGGTACATGACATGATGTATTTTAAGGATTTTATGATTATATGATTCTTTATTGACTTTGGTAATTCAAGAGAAATATCTTTGAAATTTGAATGTACATTTAGTGTTGTATGGTACACAGAGTATGACATTTAATATTATCAATGGATTAAAAATCAAATAAAAGATAATATTATAACAATTATTAATAATAATATTATTAAAAATAAGTTTCATCCTGTTTCGACAAGCATACTGTATAGTATATTAATTGGTTTGCCAATGCAAAGGCTTATTATGATGATTCTTAACAGCTCATTCCCTTATGTTCAGTATTCAATAAGACTACCTTTACTCTTTATTAAAAATTAAAGCATACCTCCCCCACTTAATGAAATTCAAAACCCCAATGATTCTGAGAAAATATTAAGATTTTTCAATCAAACAGTGATGAAATTAAAAATCCAGCGATGATAACATTTTTTATTTGCAAGTGAATAGATAATTTTCAAATATAGTGATTAAACACAAATGATATTAATGAATAAATAATAAGTTACCAAGTTATTAAAATAAGGATGAAGGATAAATAAATCTATAGTATGCATAATATAATATTAGCATGAATAAATCATGCATTACTACTAAAATTTCCAGTTGGTACTGGTACTGGTACTTGTAGACGTCTGATTTTAGACATTTGGCAGCCATTGACATTATGTTGGCGTTAAAAGACTGCATATTGTGATGAGGGACCTGTGTACAAACAATTACCAAACAAAAAAAATATGGAAAACTGAATGCTATTTACAAAAAATTCTATTTAATGCTTATGGGTGAAACTTTCTGTTTGTACTGTACTTAGAAATCTTATTTGACAAATAGTTGTTGCTTTTTGCTTGTGAAATAGATTGATGATTGTTGACATGTTTTTACTTTGAAAAATGGTGTTCTTTTTTTTTTTTCATGATTTTGTTTATATTAACAGAAGTTCAAGTTCAAAAATGTCCAAAGTAGCCCTATTATATTATTATTAGTAGCAATTGCCAATATTTACAGTGTTTATTTTGAAACAAAAGCCTCCCTCTTAAATTTGGAAAGAAGCCCATCTTGTATAAAAGAAGCTCATCATTAAAAGAAACTAAAATAATCGGCTCCTTTTCGATGTTTTACAGTATTGCCTTTCAGAATACAGACGTAAAATCACGAGATTTGTTTTCACTGTTGGACAGTAAAATATAGAAATTGTCATTTTAATATGTTCTTTAATTAAACTCATTAGTGCCTAGATTGATTTGAAGTACTCTGTTTTTTTTAAATGGCCTCCTGATAGCAGTTGCAATGGAGTACCATTATGTAAAATCCGTTTACCCATTCTGAGAACGTACTTTTCTTACACTTAATTATATTCTTATCTTTGTAGAGTGGTTTCACACCTTTACATATCGCTTCGCATTACGGACATGTCAATGTGGCAATTCTGCTCATCCAGAAGGGCGCCACCATAGATTATGCAGCAAAGGTAGGTCAGGTCAGCCATTCTTGCTTCCATTATTGGTGATTAGGAGCGCCAATATGGATCAAGTCGGCAATGTGTTTTCCGATTTATAATGAATGCTTTTGTTTTTCGTAATTTAGTTTATGCTTTGGTAATGTGACATTAGAATGTATCCAATTATATAATTTTTTCCTTAAATTAATGAATATTATTTATAGGTCTATCTGACTGACAGAAATATATCAAATCAAATTGGGTTTTTATTAAGTCTTTCACATGAATGATTAACTCGTTAATATTCTCATGATGAAAAAATAGAAGATAATTCATTGCTAAATATGTTGAAAGTTGTTCACTTTCAATATTCTTTGTAATTGGTCACTGTACAATATATGGTACAAGATATTTCATTGGTGAATGTATAGTACAGTTAATTTAACACAAGATATTTTATTGGTCAATAACTCTATATGGTTTAGTTATACAAGATAATAATATATAAGACATTTTGTTGTTTAATATCTTAAAAACTACTTTATGGCTACACAAATATAAAGAAATATCAGTGAAATATAATGGTTCAAATAAATATAATAGTAGGAATTAAAATATTTAAAATAGTAATGAAAGGATTTGAAGTTGGATAGCACAATTTATTTTTTTTAATGCCTTGTATCTTTTACATGATTGGTTTTTTTTATTCCATAGAACAATATTACCCCCTTACACGTAGCATCAAAGTGGGGGCGTGTCAACATGATTAACACTCTATTGGACAGAGGAGCAAAGATTGATGCTAAGACAAGGGTAAGAAAACAATGTCAGTTTGTGTTTACAACAGAAAAATTGAGATTTTTCTTGTTTTGTTTTTAAGTACTAGTTTTTTTCCTATTTTTAATTTTTATTGATTGTTCCTAATTATTATTATTTTTTGCATACTGATTTTAGGGCTTCTGATGATAAGCTTTAAGTGCCCTCAATGAAAATTGTGACATTCACATTGTGAAAAAAAAAAACGAAAAAAAAATATAAATCCTAGGCCTCTTTGTAATTCTCATTACCCTGGTCGTTGGATCAGACACAAATACAGCTCCTAGGGGACATATTCCATTAAGTTGCAGACTAATAATCGGCTCCTTGGCATTCAAACCTCTGGTACCTACTTGTTGGCTAGAGACAACATGATGAAGTGTCTTGCCGAAGGACAAGCATTAACCACATGTTTCCATGATCTAAAACATAAGGCTAGACAGGTTGCACAATGTCCACTGCCCTATTCTGACACTTTAACCACCGAAAATGAAATACAAGCAAAGTTTTGTCATTCCCTGGGGTCCCAAGTTTCCTGAAAATGAATACGGCTGCCTGCAAATTCATTATGTTTACATGTTTTTACTACTGTATTATCAATTGCCTCCTGAAAATCAGCGTAGTTGTGAGTTAAAAAAGTTAATTAAACCGGACCTCCAAAAAAGTGGCATCTTCCAACTTGGTACGCATGCATTCCTAAATCTTGGATGATACCTGCTCTCCTGTTGTCTATCTGCAGTCTTATAATTTGCGCATTACGACCGGATTTCTGGTCACCACGGTCATTGGATTCAATGCAATACATCATATTCAGCATCTTTAGTTAAAAATGTGCTTTGGTTTTTCTTAGAATAATGATATTCTTATGTCTAATACATAACTTTTTTCAAACCATATCTACCCACTTCTGGATTTCAAGAACTAAATTTTTATACACAAAAAAAGCAGCTCAATATGTAGGAACTGATTATTTAGAAATTATTTTTCATTTGAAAAAAAAAAAAAATTAAATTGTATTTAAAATCAATTTATTATGATTAATGTGATATATTTTCTTGTATTTTTTTCAATATTATTATGCAAATATACATATTCTGTACACTTTCAGATGATTCATGCTCATGACATTGTGTAGTTTTAAAGTTATAATCATGTGAAAAATAATCTTTTGAATCTGTGCTTGATGTTTCCTTTCACATGAACAAATATAAATCAAATCCACTATCAAAGCGAAAATGCAACAAATATCATGCGTGCCCTATTTGCAACTAGAAAGAAATTGTACTTTGAATTACAGCCACACTCGTTAAATATATATCAAGTTGGCTTACACACGTATATCTAATGCATATATACACTTTAAAAAGTAGGTTAATGTACTATTATGTTATACTTTAAATGGTACGAACAAAATAAGTTAGACTATAGTCTGTTTATTTTCCAGTTCTATATACTCCTGTCAAATTCAGATGACATTCCATATTACACTGAATACATATAGGTATAAACGATTGAATGCTTATCTTGATTAAATTCCCAAATTGTCCTTAATTAGAACAACCTTTGAAATGATTACAATTCACTGTAATATGCGTGGGCTGTCTCCTTTTTTTTTCAACTGTTGCAGCATGCAATACAAATGTGTCAATAACCACATTGTCATCCTCATTAATTTTGCACTTAAAAAAAAAGAAAGTAAAATGATACATACAACTTCAAAGGAAAAGGGAATTTGATATGTTGTATCGCAACCACTATTACAATTGAAATTAAGGATGTTTTCATTTTTTATCATTGCAGGATGGATTGACTCCACTTCACTGCGCCGCTAGGAGTGGACATGACCAGTCTGTAGACCAACTTATAGAGCGTGGAGCTCCTGTCACATCTAAGACCAAGGTAACTTTAATAATATATTTTTGCTAGACTTAAGATTATCATTATCATATCCATCAATGTTATTATCATTTTTGTTGTATTTCTATCAACATACATTGTCCTTACAAATGCCCATAAAATCTCAGTTTAGCTTATAATCATATATTTCAATGAGATAATGTACTAATAGTCCACATAATGTTTACCTCCACAACAGAATGGCTTGGCCCCACTACATATGGCAGCCCAAGGCGACCATGTGGACAGTGCTAGACTCCTACTATTCCACAAGGCTCCTGTCGATGATGTTACAGTTGTAAGTATTATTGCTTAATATATAGTGGTGTAAAATCCATAACATGTTGAACATTAAAATATTTTATTCAATATATCAGGTGATTATATTCAAATATATTTGGTATCTTTTCTTTCATAATGTTTAACTTCTTATTTCTTGCTTACGTGAATTTGAATGAATAGAATTGATTTTTGTTTTTATTGCAGGACTATTTGACACCACTGCATGTGGCAGCGCATTGTGGACATCACAAAGTCGCTAAACTCCTTCTGGACAGAAAGGCAAATCCTGACGCAAGAGCATTGGTAAATTACTAAAGCTAAAATTTTTACAGCACCATTTTTACACACAATTCATTGCGCCAAAGAACATGCAAATGTCCTCAATTGTTACTGTAATCTATTTCTGGTAATGCATTGTTTCATTTCTATTATTACAAATGATTATCCTACCCTTTAGACTAAGAATGGTTTGCTGTTGACTCTGTAGAGTTACTGGTACTTTAATTTATTCAACTTCATGATTCCAAATGATATAATTTGATCTTTGGAAAATAACAACTACAAGACTTATTTCTGTGTTTCTCTTTTTATTCTGGATTGTCTGTTTGGTTGTCAACGTCTCCAAACCCCCCTGCCCCACAACTCTGGCATACTGAATTAAATTTATGGCTGGAGGAACAACTGTTGTACTCATTAAAACATTCATTAATGCTCCTCACGCACAGAAGTAATGAACTGGTACAAATTTAGTCATAGAATTTAATATATCTGTCCTTAAGTACTGATTATCGATGCAAGTTTTTGCCAGTGGAGAATTTTTCTATTTCATATCAGGAAATTAGTCTGCCCTCAGTTTATATCTTGTATAAAATGCATCAGTTATTCAATGGTCATTAAGTCTATAACTGAAGTATTTGAGCTAATTAGCATACAGCTAACGATGTATCTGCCCTATAATTAGTCTCTTCTGTTGCAATTGAAATTCTGTTGGTAATCTCTTCAACACAGACTTGTACCATAAACATCAAATATATAAAATGTTGCTCAATGATATTTTCTAATTATAACTGACATTTGGCAATGTGGCTGATAACAAAGATGATGTGAAGTATCATTTCAACTAATTCCAAGTTTAAATTCATTGATATTTAGCTGTTTGGCACTCGTGTTTCAATTTATTTCTAATTGTATCTTCAGTCAGGAACTTATAGTTGTAATTAAATTCTCTACGAGAAGTATGCAATTAATATATTGGCTGCCATTTTAACATTTTGTCGATAAAAAGAATCGTAGGTGTACAAGACTAACAGGGGATTTGTAATACCACATTTTAGTGGCTTTTGTCACGCATACAATACATATTCATTACAGATCAGATTTATAGAATGACTGAACACGATTATGTTTACTTTTTTAACTAATACAATATAGAAAGATATGTGCACACTCAAAAATGTAATTATGAATAAATTTTTACTCAATGAGTATAAATATTTTTTACAAATTAGCAAACTGTGAAAGTTATCTTCAAGTACTACAAGATTTTTAGAATTGTGTAGTGGGCAAGTGTAAAAGATGAAGCATGCAAGTCACAACCCTCGAAAGTCAATGAACGTTCTTGAAAGTGTAATTTATTTTAGAAAGGGATTTACTTAACAAAGAAATAACTGTTCCCTGATGATTTTGTCTGTATTAAATCATTGACAGGTAAATGTTAGTAATTCTTTTTTTCTTAATCCTTATAGAATGGATTCACTCCATTGCATATTGCCTGCAAAAAGAATCGCATTAAAGTTATTGAACTGCTACTCAAGTATGGTGCCTCGATTCAGTCTACAACCGATGTAAGTTAGATTCTATTGATTAATTTCGTAATTAATGATTATTATATTGATAATAATACTGCTTATTAGAAGTATAGATGTATATTGCCATTATTTCCTTAGTTAGAATGTGGACCCCTTAAAGATAATAGGAGCATCCATTCAGTGTAATTTATACCTATACTAATTAATCACCATTTGTCATCCTCATTCCGTTTTCATTTTAATTATGAAAAGAACTAAACTGATATAGCTTTTAAGAGAAACGTTGCAAAAGATGTATTTTTTATGTATACATATTAAGAGATACAGAGGATTAAAGAGAGAAGATATTCTTATTTCTTTGAACTCATGATGAAGGTGGTGGTGAATAAGCATTGAATAATTTCTTGAATACCATTGGGGACATTTAGTGAATTACAGGCTTATAATAAAGATATATTATATATAATAAAGATGATATATTAGAAAAGGAGAATTTTTAGATATTATTCAGTTTATATCTTGAAACAATCTTTCATGAATATGAGCTGTGTCCTGCCTTAGAAATCCCATTGTTCTGGGTTAAAAACCAGCGGTGTCACCAGAAATTTGACCACATGGGGTCCGAGCCAAGGGGACAACGAAGCTTCGGTCGACGGCCGATGCCCTTCTGAGGTTCATGAGGAGAGTTTTTGTGGCTTAGTATGGTTAAAAATGTGCTTTTAGACCACAATATTAGGGATTGGCAGTCAAGATAACGTTATTTTGATAGGCAAGTTATTATTTTTTTTATTTTTGATCCGACAACCTATTTAAAAAATTTTTTTTTTGTTTATTTTTAACCACTGTTAAAAACCTGTAAAACAAAATTATTCCATATGATTCATGAGGAGCCTTAGTTTGCTTTATAATTTAAAGTGTAAACAAAAAATATTTCTTCTTATTTAGTCCGGCCTGACTCCACTTCATGTGGCCGCCTTCATGGGCAATGCAGGAAACACATTGTTCCTTCTTAAACACGGAGCCATTATTGATGAGCCAAATGTCGTAAGTACCTCCCTGTGAGGGACCTTTCTGTTTTGTGCTTAGAAGAATTATGTTACTAAAAGAGATGTAATTTAATGATTCAATTTGACAGTATGGTAAAGGTAATTTACGTCAAAATATGATTAAATGTACTTATTGCATAGACACTTAAAGATACCAATTTGCGGTGAGAAACCTTTTAAAATGAAACAAATGCTTTAATGAGATTTCATGTATTAAGAATAACTTTGTTTCATACTGCAAGTGGCATGTATTGGTTTTATGTGAATACTGTATATATTTTAACATTTCGTTCATAATTTATTACTTCTTAGCGTGGTGAGACTCCCCTTCATCTTGCCGCCCGTGCTAACCAGATTGAGATAATGCGTATTCTATTGAACAGTAAAGCTGTGGTCGATGCCAGAGCTAACGAGAACCAGACGCCACTTCACATCGCCGCTCGTCTGGGCAACGTGGAGGTTGTTACACTCTTGCTAGAGCAAGGCGCGAATCCTGATTCGCAAACAAAGGACTTGTACACAGCGCTACATATTGCAGCACGTGAAGGAAAGGAAGATGTTGCCGCTGCTCTGCTCGAGCATGGTGCATCCCTCTCAAAGAAAACTAAGGCAAGTGTACCTGTGTAGAAAGTAGTGACATATTTAAAAAAGTAGTTTAACCTGGCTTTATGTTGCACTATTTCATGAGGTCGTAAGTGCTATAAAGCCTAGAAGTTGTTGATAATTTAGTCGATGTCGACCTTTCATAAACAGACTCATCGTGTCTACAAATTAACTTGATTAAAATACCTTGTACTACATGGCAATATCTTAATTCTGAATTGTGTCTGTTGCTGTTAAAACTCTTAAAGCAATTTGATAATAGTACACCTAATCTTGTAATTATATATTTGCCTATCTTTAGGGTATGCAAGTGAATAATTAAACCAGCCTTGTACTATATCTACTTCTGTGTTTATGTCTTTGATTTTTTCCTTTATCTTTGGTGTTATCAGTAGAAGTACATTGGATTTTGTTATCCTGCAACTTGCAAGTTAAAATGTTTAAAGATTGTGCCATTGTTAATCTTCAACATACTGTATTGGTGCATTTATATTGATTCATTCAAATTATTCCATTCATAAGTTGATTTGCTAATTTTATATGGAGTGACCATTTCATTATGTAATCTCTAATTTTTACCAATCGTTTTTCTTACCAACGTGCAGAAAGAGTTCACTCCTTTGCATGTCGCTGCTAAATATGGTCGTTTGGGTGTCGCCTCTCTGCTGCTCAGACATTGTGCATCCCCCGATGCAAAAGCCCAGGTAAGTAGTAATATAAAATACTAATAATATATACTAGCCTACCATCCTATATCAACTAGTCTAAGGTACTGAAGAAAATCAATAATATTGTTCATTTGGTATATTTTCTTGAGTAATATATATATTTGTTAAATAAACATTGGTGAAACAACCAGTAGATTAAACAGCATAGAGAAGTAAAGCTTTGACTATACTAGCGTTGTCCGCTATGTGTACATTGAACCGTGCAGTTTCTTTAGGTTCCTGATTCAATGGACCTTTGTGGAAGCGGTTTGGCGCAGCAGGAACAGTTTGGTTTCCCAACCTTGAGGTCGGCGTTTCAATCCCTCGCTGTGCATTTCGCTTGTGTCCTTGAGAAAGACAATTTATCTACATTGCTTCTCCTTCACCCAGGTATAAATGTGTACCTGGTGGGGCTGCATTGATTACCAGAGCAAGACTTGGCATGTAGACCCAATGACCAGGGAAAAGAACTGCGCTTTGCAGAGACGCAAATGTCCGTAACAATACCAGTACCTTTCCTCTAAGCCCCGCCCCTTGGATATTGTTGCTAAGGTCCCACAAAGTGACACACGTGTGTTTGTGGGACAACACATGCTTTTCCCGGCATTATTGGTCAATTGTTAAATTCCATTCCATTGCTGATCTACTTGTGTTTCATTTCTCGGCCTGAATTGTGAGTAACTAGATCAAAAACTGTTGTTTTGGAGAGATGTGTAAATGTGGATGGTGAAGGACTTTGTACACTTATAAAAATAGAGTATGTAGTTGTCTCCTATTTACCATCCAATCACCATTAATGCGCAAGTATATTTAAAAAAAATCTAAAGGTTTATGTACAAAAAACATGATGATAATGTCAGAAAATATGCAAAAAGGATTGAGTTAATTTACAGTGTATGTTACATACATTGGTGTATAACTGAACATGAACATGTATACATTACAGTCGACAGCTCATACAACTCGTACAAATTGATTGAATGTCTATTTGCATATATGCTACTTGAGTGGGCGTCACTTTAATGCGTGAAAATATATTATATTAACGTGTTTATATGCGTGTAACCCTTTGTTTATATTCGTATGAGTCTTTGTGTATCAATCTAATTGGTAGTTTTCAATTATTACATGTAATTGGATTTCTTTTCCTCATTTCCAGAATGATTTGACTCCCCTCCATATTGCCGCCCATTATGATCATGTAGATGTTGCAATGCTGTTGTTAGACCAGAAAGCGTCTCCAATATCAGTTGCAAAGGTATTCAATCAATTAATTAAAGTCACTTGGTGTCACAGAGACCCAAGTATGTTTAAACCTTTAACCTTTATATTGAATAATTTGTATTATTACACTTTGGTTAAGATGCTTATGATGCTAAGAAAATTGAGATAAAAGATAGCACAGTTTCTACTGCAAGAGGAAACAAATAGCTGTTTACTGTATTTTATATTTATTTATGTGTTGCTATGACAAAAAAAATTTCAAATTTTAGTTTAACAGTAGAGTTGTCTTGTATATATAACAGGCCTTTTCCAATTACACAAAGAGCATATAATTTAATTAAATAATTTTTTTTTCTATTTTTTTTTTTTTTTTTTTTTTTTTTGAAAAATGGAACTACCAATCCTTGAGCACTAGGTTCAAATTATTATTTATATATTTTTCTTTTTCTTCATAGAATGGCTTTACACCGCTCCATATTGCAGCTAAAAAGAACCAGATTGAGATAGCTACTACCCTTCTTGAGTACAACGCTGATCCAAATGCTGTCACCAAGCATGGAATTAGCCCAATCCATCTAGCAGCCCAGGAAGGCCACACAGACATGTTGAGTCTGTTAATAGATAAAGGTGCTAGGCCTGGAATAACAGCTAAGGTAAAGATTCAGCCAGTATAGAGATATGCTTTATAACATTCTTTTGTAGAAAAGTCATGCACAATTTATGACGTTGCCAAATTGTCACATGAAAACACATGAAATATTTTTATTATTAGGAACAATATTTATGTTATGTCGAGTAAGCAAATTAACTGATGGGAGAATCGAACCAACAACCTATGAAGTATCTTTCTAACACTTTTGCTATTCTAAGCCGCCTTTGTTCTCAGCAGCATCTTGTTTGCTTAATTGGTCTGAAATATATCCATCATATCTGCTATAACATGAGGGATAGCTCTATGTCCAAATCTGAAATAACAGGATATGAAAAATAATTTTAATTGAATGTAAAAAATAAATATTCTTTATACAATTTTTAAATAATTTAATTAGTATTGCATAAATATAAAGGTCTAAGTTTCATACACCAGTTATTGAAACCACCCAGGTTCTGTATTTTTATTACTGTTCTGTATAATCGGAATACAAACAGGCAATAACATCTGGTTATGTTTTATTTCTATACTTAGAATGGTTTGACCCCTCTGCACTTGGCTGCACAAGAGGATAAGGTCAACTGTGCTGCTATCCTAGTCAAAAGTGGTTCCGAGATTGACCCCAAGACTAAAGCTGGATACACTCCACTCCATATTGCATGCCACTATGGAAACATCAAAACAGCAATATTCCTTCTTCGCCATGGAGCTGACATCAAATCTAAAACAAAAGTATGCTGTGATTTTTTTTTCTTGATTGTACATTCAACAGTAAAGTTTTACTAATACCATCTATCTTGTATCATTTATTTTTTACACCCACAATTCATTACAATTTTACATAAAAATAATATTTGTGTTTATTTACTTCAGCATGGCAACACACCTCTGCATCAAGCAGCTCAGCAGGGTCATGTAGGGGTCATCAACCAGTTGTTGGAGAATGGAGCTGATCCAAATGAAACAGCCAATGTAAGAAAAATAAAATTCAATAAAGTATAGAAAATTGGTTTTTAAATGTATGTGAAATTCAATATCAAACAGGCTATTTAATAAGTGAAATTTTTATTGTAAGATTCTAAATGGGTTGTGAAATTAGAAATACTTATGTTGTATTTGTTAAGAAGTATTTTATTTTTGTGTCTTGTAGAATGGGTATACCCCATTAGGTGTTGCTAAGCGCCTCGGATATATCTCGGTCATCAACACACTGACCACAGTGACAACCCGCACAGAGACAATCACCATCACAACAGTAAGCATATTTTATAGAATATATCTTGTGGACATTTAGTTTAATCATTTGTTTTTTTTTTCTAGAAAATATAAGCCCTTTAAATTAATGTAGTTATGAAGTATGTATGTAATGAACATGTTGTAAAATGTTGTTCAATGTATATTAACATAAGATTTAACTAGCTATTGAATGTCCTGAGTATAACAATAAAATCTGGATTCCTCTTTTTACAGAAATGTTATGTGAGCTTTTGACATAAGATTTGATAAATAACATACTCGCATGATTATAAATTTTATTGTAAGATAATACAAACTATATTTTTTTAATTACATACTTCAATATGACAACACATCAAGACCAGGTGGTAATATTAGTATGTTCTGCTTGAAATATTTGGAAACAATATTTTGTTTATTCAGCTTCCATTCTATACATATATGCTAATAAAGCATGAATATATTAGTTACCATGATCATGTATTAATGTGTTACGTAATTCATCCCATTCGCTAGACAACGGAGGAGAAGTTCAAAGTTCAATGTCCTGAAATAATGGTTGTGAACTTTATGTCTGAAGATGAGGATGAAGGTGAGATATGACATTTATGTTTGTATTGTAGAAGTGTATAGTATTTTATATATTAGTGTGTTATATATTTATAATTTAAATTTGAATATGCTGTGCTTTTAATGTTAAAATATTTGTAGTGTTTATTATGAGGTAATTAAAAGATCTCTCCAAACTATTAAGTTTTATGCAACTAATGGCCGTATTCGACTGGTCGTTCTTTGTTAAACAGCGCCCACCTGCGCAATTGTAAAACCCAACTTAACAAAGTTGACCAGTTGAATAGAAAACTGGTAAATACTCTACAAAGCAAAACGGCTGCATAGTTACCGCGATACACGCTGCGTAATCAAGGTGGCTTCGGATTGTGGCAGTATGGGTTTTTGTAAAAAAAAAATTTTTTCAAATTATTGAATAGTAAGTAACATCTTAATTTTACATTTGACTTTAGATCATCTAAAAGAACCTTTAGAACACAAAAATGTTTTCATTTAGTTTTTGAATTCTGTTAGCCTACGAATATTTTTTCACTTCATGTGGGTAACTATTATAATTTTTTTTTCTGAAATTTAATCTAAATTATATAACACAAATGTTGTTCCTAAACTGACCAATCGGCCATGTTTGTTTTGGTCACATGGAAAACACTAACGCTGAGGAATGCACTCTGGTTTATGTTAATCTTCGTTGTCAAAGAAACTCTATTTTACGAACCAGTCGAATGAAAATAGTACTCAACGAAAAATCGTAGTCGTCGAAATGAACCAGTCGAATAAGCCCAGTGTGTGTGAGTTATGACATCATGCCCTTATGTAGGCACATAAAACTTAATGGTGTGGATAGCCCTCTTATAAAGTAATGATATATCTGTATATACTGTATGGCAGAATATTGTCACACTATATTTGGATACACACAAATGTATTGTCTTGCTATGCATTCACCTACTGCTATGGAGATTTCGGTATTAAAAATATACAGTATTTTGAATATAAACCACATTGTAACCAAATGGTAATAAGTCTCATTTACATATTGTATGAATATTCATCATTGCTATATTTTTTATATCACAGTATTCTGTCCTCTTCTGTTTGTGCTTAGTATCACAAATTTTAAATGTGAGATCTCATCATTCAGTCATAACTTCAATTAATGAATGTCAAAATTATCTAATTGTTTGATGTTGATCTATTACACATCTTTCTTCAATGATAATTTATGTTGTATTTTTTTTCTCATTTTTGTTTTCATTTATTTAAAAAAATATTTTGTTTTTAATAATTTAAATTGATGAAAAAAAGTCACATTCTTTAATGTTTTAAATATTATTTTAGCTAGTAGTTCTACCTTAAACATTTCATTGTCTTTCATTTTATTCCTCATTTTTAGTTACATCCATATGATTATTATCGTAGTTTCAAATGAGATTAATTTTTGTTTTGTGAAGCTACTGAGCATAATCTTTCAGATTTCTGTCTGTCAGACTTAGCAGATAGTGTTTTGTCAAAAAAACAGAACAATATATTGGTTTGATCAGATAAAAAACAAGAGCATACTACTGTATCGGATGTAACCTCTAACCACACTATCAAGTTCTATGCAACAATTTGTATTTGTAAATTGCCCAACCATATATAGGCATGATGATGTCATATCTTACCCATTTATGAGCAAGTCGCAAGTGTTTGCAACATAAAATTTGATAATATGGATAGAGTGTAAAACAAGCATGCACTACTAGCATACAACATCTGTTCAAACATTATCTGCTGAATCTGTAGCCCTGTTTTGGCAAAAAACATGCGACATGCCTAAATATAGTCATGAATGACATCACATGATGACTATATATAGGCACATCATGACTATATATGGGCATACAACAGTTTGATAATCTGAACAGAGCTTAATAGAAATCTGAAAGAGTATGATTGGTTACATTAGATCTTTTTTTTTTATTTCTGTAAATCATTCTTGTTTATTTGTAGCTTTTACGACAACTTTGTTTAGCTTTTGATTTTATAACTGATGTTTTTATCCCTTCCTCTCCCTCATATTTGTGTTTCATCAACCTCCATATTTCCCTAGACGAAGAAAGTGGTATGTTTTGTCCTGAATTTTATCGTAAAACTTATAAGCTTATTTATGCTGTTGTTTTTGTCGGGTTTTTTCTAACAAGTTTGTCACAGTTTTCCTTGTTAATTGTACAGTACATGTGGCACATATCATTTAGAAAAAATAATTAGCTTATGCCCACAAACTGTCTCAATGTGGTTTTCCTTCCTAAGAGTATTGTAATAATGCAGATAGTAGGAAGCTTTCAATTTGTCAGACGCTAGAACGGAATCACTCATGCGTGACCGTGATACACGGCGTCCTACTTTCTCTGCATACATACATTTGGCCAAATTGCGTTCCAGAATCTACTCGACAAGGTGACTTTAACGTTCTTGCATGCGCAGATGACTTTTACTGACGTTTTTACGTTCTACGTCCTACCGTCGTCGTGCAATCAAAAGCTCCCCAGTATCTGGAATCCTGAGAGCAGCCAGCTCACTAGGCTAAACTGGTGGTATCCACTGTGTGTGTGCTGAACCATGGAGACCTTTAGTTCCTTGGTTCAATTCCCATCGCTGCTCTCCTTGTAGTTCACCTGAAGGGCTGAAATGCAAGTTTCAAAATTGCACTGTCTTTCAGAGAAGAAAAATCCAAAATGCAAAATGGCCCATATGCATGTTAAAGATTAATTGTTGAAATGTCATAAACTACTTAATTTTCATTTGATATTTGAGACAGATTGTGTTCTAAAAGCTCAGTCCTAGTTCGTGTGTGTGTGTTTATATGTGCTTAGTGTTGATTGGTATTTAATGATGTAAATTTATACAGCTGCACAGCATGATTTTAATTAACCTAAGGCCAAATATAAAACATGTGTTATGTGGTATTTGGTCTATTATATTAAAAATTTTTAACCATTTTTTATATACATTCAACATATGTTACACTAACCCGCTGCTCTCTGAATATATTTATGTTTATAATGTCACTTTTTGATGTCTTATAATAATAATACTTTTAGTAGCGTGATTTTATATTGTAGGAGATACTAACATAAATTTTTTGTGTCACCATTTTATAGCTTTATGTTATTGCTGTTAATCAATTTTTTTGGGATTAATTAACATAGTTTTTTGATAGACTAACAATGAGACATGTCATCAATACTGCTCTGTAGTTTATATCATTCCAAAGATAAAGTTTTTAAGTTTGGACAATGATGTACCACTTTGGCACTGTTTACAGGAATTTTATAAATAGAGATTATATAATAGACAGCATCATGCCCTTCTTATAATAGCTAGATGGATGTTGCTATCTTGGTACAACTGTAGCTGCAACTTCTAATTTAGATAATAACACTTTATTAAGAAGGATTAAGTACCGCTGTGGACCTGCGTTTCTGCAACTTATCCTTATCATAGATGCCCTCGTTTGGTCAATTCTTACTGACATCACCACACCCTCTAATATACAGGTCTCCCTCCAATTAAAAACCACTTTTGTTACCATGTTTCCATGATATTTTGCAGCTTTGGTGTCTACTTAGAACAATATAGATGAAAGATAACAATTTGTGACCACAGAAAATTGGTATTTAACTGTATATGTCTTTAATTAGAGGGAGACTTTATACCCTACTGTTAAAAACCAAGAATCCAAGTATCACTGTTGTCCTGTTTTACAATACCCTACCCTCATAATATATACCCCTTGCCTTCAGCTAAATAAACATATGGATGTGACCACTTAAATAACCCACTATTTAATATGCTAATCTTCATATACACGTTTATATTAATTTTAACTTGATCTAATTCTACAGTAACTTTTTTTTATAATAAAGAAGTTGTACTCTCATTATCTGACACCAATAATATTTGAGACCACCTTAAATTTGTCCATTTCATTTGAAAAATTTTAATATCCTCTAGTTTCCAAATTTGTCATTGCCTGAAATTTAGTTTGTAGTCAGTTCATGAGAGAAACACTTATATATTTGGATTTTTGAATTTATTAACCACATTTTTTTCTCATTTTAATAACATTTATTGAAGGTAGATATAGTTGATAACAACATGATACAGAAATCATTTGCATGTGAAAATCTAACACAATGCTCTACGAGTACAATATCAAATGTACTTGAATTTGTTTGATAGGTTTAGTCTATGGGTGTGTATATTTGTGTGTTTGAGGTCAGGTCATAGTTCATTTCATTTGTCATTATAGGGTTTGGCTATTCATCCTTTTCCAAACCATTTAATGATTAATGGGAGTGTAGATTAAAGTTGCATGCAATTATATATGAAGAAATTAAACACCCACTTTCAACACCACTTACACCTGAAGAAGAGCACTGGGTTTATTTTCTAGTGTAATGTACCACAATTTCCAGTTTTGTAATTAACTTAAAAAGTTGCCGAGGAAATCTAGGCATAATATTTTCATGACATTCATTGTAGATATGGGATATAATTTTGTTTTTCTGTGAGACTAGGTCAAATTTTATATCTTAATTTTGTATATAATTAACTATTACGTAGAGAGTATGGTATGCTGTTTGTAAATGTGTAACAAGTAATAATAATAATAATAATAATAAATAATAATAATAATAAATAATAATAGAGTAATGGTAATTATAAAAATATTAATATTTAATTGAATCTAACTACTTGTATCCAATTTTAATACTGGAATAAAATTAATTAGGAAATATATTAATTGATTTTTAATGATTTTATAGGTGATGACATATCAATGACAGGAGACCACGGGACACTGACCGCAGATGAGATTAAAATTCTGGGGGATGATTCCATCGTACGTGACAACCGGCTCATGGAACAGGATTGGCTGGGAATGGACCCAGTAAGTAACACACATACGAATACAAATGTATATAAAAAAATTAACACTCATAAATTGTAAACAATTACAGTGGTTATCAGTTGATAAACATACCTTTTTGGTCCAGTAATTAAGTCGGAGTCATTTCATTGTACTATTTCCTCTTTTGATCGATAAGTACATTGTAACAGAAAAATGGTGTTAAAAATTGCTTATTAAAATAAAATAACATAATCTTTACATCCAACTCGGATGCTTCCTCAAACAGGTATATCATGGTGACATCAGTGGCTGGCGCCCTCAGTATCAGCTGATCATAGAAATGACTGAGTTGGTAGGCTCTCCTCGTCTGCAGTTTTAGCTTTTGATGCCACCATTTCTTTTTGTTCATAAACATTTTCAGATCCTGATATTGTCCCTTTACTAGTAAATTCAATTCCTCCCAATCAAATGATGTAGATTTGCGTAGCAGAAATGGTTGATATATTTGTGGGATTTGAGACTCTTTCCTGGAATCCCTTGTGCTTTTTTTAGCTCATTTTGGTTTTACATCTAGAGGATTTTTTTTTTTTTTTTTTTTTAGCAACAAAGCATTTTGTAAACACCGTCTGCAATTGCAGTGCCATCCCTACTTAATGTGTCTTTTGAAGTAATAATAGGCTTTACAGTTGGGTATAGGGTTTGAATAGGTTTTTTTGTTTTTTGTTTTTTTATTTGTTTGTTTTACATGAATCCCTGTATGGAATAGTCAACATTTTACATACTATTGCTTCTTGCAACCATTTAGTTGGTATTTTTTCTTTAGTTCCCTAGATTTTTTGGCTTTATCTAATATTCAACCTAGGTAACCACATTCCTTCAGTGACCTTACTACACTTCTCTCCTAATTTTCCTCTATCATTGGTGGTAGAGTTTTATTATTTGACGGAACACCAGTAACAAATGTGGTATATATTTTAAAGGGAGAGTATAAACTAATAACTACAACAAAAAAAATGATGCGTACTAAATAATCAAAATATTAGCGATCGTTATGTATATTCTTAGTCTTATTGATGAGCCTTGACAATTATAATGACATTTCTTAAAAGTTTATCCACTAACAGGTTTTTATTCTTTTGTGATTCTCGAAACCATATATACCATACCTAAATGCTAAAATTTATATTCCTCCTCCCCAAAATCAGGATATGAAGTATTACTCAGGAGCTGGTTCTCTGTCAGGCTACTACCGCCAGTCCTACACACCATCCCGAGCCAGCACTATAGGCCGTGGGGACGACAGCATTCTTGGGCCGGATCTTATAGAAGGCGAGGTAATCACAATGTCCACACAGCAGAGTGCTTTTTCAGCTCCACCACCCCTTTCACACTCGACCCCAGGTCATAACGGACACATGATTTTAAGTCCAGATGATGGATGCCCTTCGTTCAATGGAATTGATGGTCGGTCTACAGCTACCACTCACAGCTCCATGCAGTCTGGGTAAGTGATCAAAAAACTCAGTCAGACTGGAAATTTGGTTGTCAAATTGCTCAAGTTTAAATATACCCTGTACTTTTGAAGTGTCAGTTTCTAAAATATATTATGAAGAATTACTTATTTGACAATTACAGATTATATATTTCTCTAATTATTTTTTTAACAGATTAATATACAAATTGATGTCAAATTTTTTTCCATGAAAAGTACCACATGGATTATTATACAGTATTTTACAACTCTTACGTTTTGTCTTACTTATCTACTATTTGTTTTTAGTACTGTATTTTAGACTGTTCTATAACATAAATGCATTTTTAATTAATGTGTGCCTTACAAATTCATGATCTGATAATTGTATTTAATAGTTAGTCAGCATAAACAAATATTATCAGTTTTTTGTCATGATTTAAATATACCAGAATTATTTTGTATTTAGTGCCAATGTAAATTCATTTTTTGAAAATGAACTTATTTACCTCAATATAAAATGTGTTAATCATTTTAATTTTACAGTTTCTTGATCAGCTTCATGGTTGATGCCCGCGGTGGCACCCTAAGCAGTTGCCGTATGCCCGGCATGCGCGTAGTTGTCCCGCCAAACAAGGCAACTGGACCTACAAGAGTTACTTGCCGTCTGGTCAAACACAGCAAGCTGATAACGCAACCGCCCGTTATGGAGAGTGAGGCACTAGCTAGCCGCATTATTGAGGTTGGCCCGTCGGGAGCACAATTTCTCGGGTTAGTAATCAATTTGTCATTAATTTCTCAATGCTATGATTATTGTCTTTGAGACAAAATTATGTGTTAAATGCAATGGAATAGCTGCAATAGCCATAAAGCATTAAATACAGTCAACGAATGCATGTTAGCAGAATGAAACATGATTGAGAAGCTCTCTTTGTTCAGCTTATCCTGAGGTGCCATCTATGAATGATGTCACTATGAAAACATTAATAAGCTAAACGTGAACATGTGTAATTTTGTGTAAATGTCTTTATTAATATACTAGGAAGTATTTTGTTTCACTATTTTTCAATATATTCTAGTTAATATCATGGGTTTCCTTTTAATAATTTCTGTCCAAAGAAATGTATTAATATTTAATTAAGGAAATTAGTAGGAAGAGTATAGCTACATAAAAATGCTAGAGAATTACTAACATGCATCAAATTATATTAAACAAAAACAAATTCCCTCCTCTCTTTATGTGATTCTATGGCCTATCTTTATTCACATCTGAGCCAAACAGCTCAGTTTTTGAGACCTGCAGCTGCAAGTGCTTTTGATGTTTTCAGTATTTTCATTGCTTGTGATGTTTAAATTTTTGTCTTTTAATGTTACATGTTTAATGATAATTACCTGGACTTGAATAAGGTAAAGCACCCCTCAAAAATGAATGGAACAGCAAGTTCCGACAGTGCATTTAGTTTATCATATGCCAACTGAACATTATGCCTTATAATTTTTCTATATTCCTATTAAATAACCTATCAGTATTTGAATAGAAAAATGATTAAACTTAATTTTTTTTGCAACTATGTTGCTGCAGCGGATTGGGCAAAAAACTGCTCACATACCCTCCGCTGAGTGACGGAGAAATGCTGGTGAGCCGTATTCTCGAGATGGGCCCAGTGTCCGAGAAGTTTTTAGGGTATGTTTGGTGGACACCTGGCATGGATCCTCTTTGCCATAATAATTTTCTATTAAATCTGTGGATTTTGGTTCTTTGATATTGAAATTCTGTATATTTTTTTTCTTCATTATTATTGTAATCTGCACTTCATTGTTCTCACTGATGTTAAAACTTCACATGGACAAAATCTAAGATTTTTATTATAGTAGTCACTAGCGCTACCATCATCATCATCATCATTGTCATCATCACTACCAACGTTATAATCATCATCATCATCAACACCAATATTATCATTATTATGAACAACATCATCACCATCATCATCATCATCAACACCCACCTCCAACATCATCATCATCATTGTCAATACCATCATCTTCGTCAACGTCATCTGCAACATCTTTAAAAGATGCAGGCCACTTTATGCACCTTATTTTATATTTGGATTTGTACCACCATCCTGATGCCTGAACCCTTACCTTACTTTTAAATTTGAATATTTACTGTATTAATTTTTACTTTGCCAGTTTATACTTTAAGCATGTGTTTATTTGATGAAGACTCACCTTTGTTTCTCAGTGTGATTTTGTCCAGTGTCCCTACTTTTCTGTCCTTAAAGTGTCATTTATGATTGTATTTGTATTTAAGCATTGTATTTATAGCCTTTACTTGTGAATGCTTAGTCTGTTTTCCCCCTAATAAAGACATTTCTTTTTTAAAGATGAACCTGATACAAGACTTATTTGCATAACTATTGGTTACGATGTCTAATTACTTGTTTTAATCTTGCATGAATAATAGTTGCTTAACAAGAATCAAGTTTTAAATTGCAATTTTCGTATAGTTTGTGATTGAAATTTATTCTCATTTTCACAGGCAAGTCACAAAGAAAGTTATCACCTGCGTTCTTGAAACAAACATTAGTTTAGTTGCTAATTGACGACATCATGACATCTATTTTGTGAATACTTACCTGTATTTATTATTTATATATTTATTTTCTTCCAGCGTGAGCTGATAAATTGGGACCCTCGGTATAAAAGTATAAACAATGAAAAATAAACTGGATCTGTAACATTAACAAATTAATTAAATTAAAACAGAGAAATATAAAATTTTAAAAATTTGATAGAATAAACAAATGCTACTAAACCAATTCCATTGTTCCTTTGAATGAACAGCCCACAATGAAAAACTTTAGTAATTGTTTTTTGTGTTCCCAAAGATACAAATTTGTATTAGTCTACATTAAAATGAACACTACACTCGCATGTGCACATGGGCATGTATTTGAAAAGCAATTTACTCACGCCTAAATAGTATTTATTCATGGTCTCAATAAAATATCCAAAAGGGAACAGTGATTTTTGACAAAATTAATACTGTAAATGCTCGAATAAGCGCAGCAGCGCTTATATAATTTTTTAAGACTTCAGTGTGGCGCTTATAAAAAATATTGGCGTAGTACTTTCCATGCCCATTCCCATGTTACCTATCTCACATATTCCCGTTGTTCAGTAGGCCTATCATAGGTCATATGTCATCGTAAATAAACGTTTATAAAGAAATGCTTGTGTCTTAATTGTGTTATTTATTCATTTTAACACTGTACATCCAAAAACCGAAAGGTCCACTGATTAATCTCAGATAAGAAAGTATAATACATACTCCAAGTATTGAAATACACGCCATCGTGTTGGGATTCAACTTAATTCTTAACACTGTACATTGTATTTTAAACCCTGTTTCATTACAACCAGGGAAATACATACTCTCGACTAAGCTTATTCAAGCATTTACGGTATTTATTACAGACAAAGGGAAAACATAAACTGTTTATGTCCACTGAAAGACAAGTGAACTTTAGTTTGTTTTGTTTCATGTACTGAAAGAGAAAATATTCGTTTTTATTTTAGCTTGATTACTAATGGAATGAACTAATATATCATATAGTTATTGCTATAATTTATGATAATAATGTATATTTTATTATTATTTGTAGTGATGTTATTGTTATAGTAAACACAATTTTTTTGTATCAACCCCAATTTTAATCTGATGTCGCCCATATTTTGTATTTCAGGTTTTTAATCATTACCCTTTGGATTGTTAATTTTTGTATTGTAATCATTTTTCTATTTTGCACATTTAATTACAAATTGATTGTTATAATCATGTTTGTTAGGTGTGGTATTTTGTATTTGTGAAACAAATGCCATATTTTTATAGTTGTATAAATTATAATATATACATGTTTCCCTCCAATTAAGGACCATTTTGGACCGGGGTTTTCATGGTCTTATAGAAGCTTTGGTCTCTAATTAGAATAATAAAAATTAAAAACCTTTGTTGGTGTGGGACCATGGAAAAGTGGTCTTTAATTGGAGGTGGTCATTAATTGGAAGGTCTTTAATTAGAGGGAGACTTGTATTGTGTTTTCCAGCAGTTTGGTGGTTAAGATGCTGGCCTTCCAATACCAGAGTCCTGGGTTCAAATCCTGTGTGAGACATAAGGACCACAAATGTTAAATACACACGTGTGTTTAATATTATGTTATATTTTTTAATTTTATGATTTTGCTAAATAATTTTAAAGCAAAACATGTTAACTATCTTCTAGATAGGTTAAATTCAATGAATTACCTTTAACGCAGTTTCAAGACTTTTAGCTTATTTCTCAAAATTTATTTGTGTGTTTAATTAGCTAAGGACGAAGAAATTATTGTTAATTGCATTATGATTGTATTTGTATTGCTCTTAGACCGGTGTTGCTGGAGGTGCCACACTTTGCTTCGTTGAGGAATGGTCAACGGGAGATTGTTGTGCTGCGCAGCGATACTGGTGAGAACTGGAAGGAGCATTCTCTGAATGCCACTGAGGAAGAGGTTGCCAAGGCATTGGATGGCTACAAAGGAGAAGGTAAGTCAAATCCTTGTTTTGTTGGGTGTTTTAATATCATTTAATTTATCATTTTAAAGGTGGGTGGGTGAAATAACATTGTTTAAGGTGGGTGAAGTTCCATCAGGTTTAGCTTTAGACTAGGTGGAAAAATCTAAGGTTCCCATCCACCATAACTATCTCAGAATTACAGGGCTCTCAAAAATGAGGGAGAATTATATAATCAAGCATTTCATCTGAGACTTAACCATCAAACAAAGATGTTTTTTCTCTGAGACTTACTTGCAAGACTGATTGAGAGTTGAAAATAATATTTGAACTTCTGCCTTCACAGATAACAACATAGATAGCAAACGAGTGTGCCGGATTCTAACAAAGGACTTCCCACAATACTTTGCCATCATCTCGCGTATTAACCAGGAGACTAATTCAATTGGAACAAACGGTGGTGAACTGAGGTCACTCGTTGAACCCAAGGTCACTGCTAGTTTCCCAATGGGAACACTCACTAAGAAAATCAAAGTTGGACTACAGGTAACATAAAATCCGAACTATTATGTATTTAAATATATAAATATTAATTATTACTTACTGCATTAGTAATCACATATTTTTTCTATACATATTAAACAGTGAAATATGATGACTATATTTTTCATTAACATATTTTGATTCACAGGTACAACCAGTGCCCCATGAGGTTGTGAAGAAGGTACTTGGTAACCGTGTGATGGTCAGTCCAATAGTGACCATTGAGCCAAGGCGCCGCAAATTTCATAAGCCGATCACTGTAACGATTCCGGTGCCAACAGCATATAACCAAGGCATGGCTAATGGATACGGAAGTGACTCTCCAACTCTCCGTCTTCTATGCAGTATCACAGGTGAAGATAATAAATATTCATAGGATAATAATATCAATATTTATAAGATTAAATGAATATTCATATTAATAATTACCTAAATATTACAATTGTTATATGAATGTTCATATAATAGTTAATTATGATGCTGATAAATTTGAATTCTAAATCTAAAATACTGACATTAACTGAGAAGCAGTATTTGTCAAGAGGAAATTTTGTATGTTGGCTAAGCGCAAGAAATTAGTACAGTATTAATAATAGCAAATTTACTTTAAAAAATGTACATTTTTAAAGTAGAAAAGAAGCACTGCCCTCATTGTCAGACAATTCTTTATCGACAGGTGGAACTGCACCTGCCCAGTGGGAAGACATCACAGGGTCAACTCCCCTCTCATTTTCCCAGGACTGCTGTGTATCATTCACAACAACTGTGTCAGCAAGGTAAGTGATAAATGCATTTTACTATAGTAGAGCGCTCCTATAAAGGGGACAAATTCAGGATGAAGAAAAAGGTATTGATCTTATAAAGTTGATAACAATAATTAATCATAATATTAGCGATAATAGTAGTAATACAGTCATACTAATAACAATAATATAGTGGTGATGTAGCTTGGTGGTTAAGAGGATTGCCTTCCACTCCAGTGCACTGGGTTCAAATCTTGCACAAGATGTTTTTCTCATGACTGCAAAAAAACTTATCCACTCACTTAGCTTTGTAATGAGCCTTAGTTCATTAAGCATCACATTATTTTCATTTATTTAATACGACTTCTGCATATCAACCTACTATCTAGGATACACGGGATCACCTGCTTTAAATAGTGTATAAATAGTTATAATGATAACAGAAATGATGATTTTTGCCAGGTTTTGGTTAATGGATTGCAAGGAGATAGACCAGGCAAGCACATTCTCTAGAGAACTGTATCAAGAACTTCGTTCTGTGCCATTCATGAGTCGCTTCGCCGTCTTTGCAAAAACCCACGACCCACTAGAATCCCGCGTACGTGTATTCTGCTCAACAGACGACAGAATCGATAGGGGACACTTTGAAAATCAAGAACATTTTACTGAAGTAGCAAGAAGCAAAGAAGTTGAGGTAGGTATTTATATTCACATTACTCTGCAGTTTCAAAGCAATGTAAAATGAAGATTTTAAGCACTTCATCACATTGGTGGCTCAAGAAATTTGCTCACAGGGGGTCCAAGAAGGAAGGGTTTTTGACCAAGGGCCTCTTAGAGCTTCAGTTGTTCCAGAAAAATATCTCTGGTGGGGTTAAAGTGGAGAATCTTTATATCTGCAATATTAGGGATTGGTAATCACAATTTATTTTTTGGGATGACAAATTAATAATCTTAGTCTAACAACCTTTTCATGGCGTTGGATGATGGGGTCCATGTGTATTCAACTGGGTAGCAATTCCCCCTCACCCTGACGTCTACTGGCGAGATACCACTGCTCCATCACTGTGGTATTGGCTGTGACCTTTACCAGTGAAAAAAGTACTGATAGAAGAACAAAAAAAATATGTAAAAACAAATGTATGAATGAGAATCTTAGTGTCAAAATTGTCGGTGATAATGGTAAATATCTTGCCAATGATAATTATAACTAGAATATAAAATCATGCTTTGCAAAGTACAATGTGTTAAGAGGAGAATTTTTATGATGATGGGATTTATACCATATCTTGCATATGTATTGGACTTTCCATCCCAACCCCTTTCCATTTTTTTTTGTTTTTGTGTCTGTTGATTCTAACATAACCAAATTCTGTTCCAGGTTTTGGAAGGCCGGCCAGTTTACATCGAACTAGCGGGCAACCTTCTGCCTGTCCAGAAATCTGGTGACCAACTAAACATGTCATTCCACGCCTTCCACGACAATCGTATGACATTCTTTGTACGTGTACGTGATCAGTCACAAGAAGCTTGTGGTCGTTTGTCCTTCATGCGTGAACCGAAAGTGACAAAAGGAATGCCACCACAAAAAGCTATGTGCAACCTAAATGTAACAATGCCTGAATACGTCAAGGTAAGAGCTTAAAATTATTTTGTAGTATTTGTTTTTAATGTAAATAATATTGTTAATTCGCTATAATTAATTGCTAATCTACTTCAAGTTAACGTATTAGAAATCTTAGTATAGTTAGTATTAATCAAAATAATCTGAACAATATTTCTGATGGAAAACAAATATATAAGCTTTGCTTGCTTTCTTGCTTGTTGTTAGCAAGAGTTATAATATTTAAAAAAATATTGTAGATTTGATAATTGGTAGATTTCCATGTACTTTACGACACTTCAATGTGGGATTTGAAAACATGGACTACAGAACTAGTGCTACAGCAATACTGGGAACATTGAGTTTCCTTTGCTGCTGTTGTTACATATTTATTTTTTTAATAATGTTATCTGTATTATTATATAGAAATTATATTATTATTATATTATTATAATATAGTTGTTGTTAGTGTTAGTTGCTATTAATATTATTATTTTTATTTATTTACTATTATATAGTCATTATTTATTATTGTTTTTATTAATGTATTGCATTTTTACTTATAAATTATTGATATATATTTACTATTATATGTAATAATATAACTATTGGTTTATTTATAGTTATAATTATTGTTAAATTTTTTATTTTTAAGGGTTTTTTTTTTTTTTTTTTTTTTAGAGTGAGTGATACTCTCTCCTAAAGAGTGAATCTGAGAATACTAGATGCACATGATAAATGAGTTATTATCATTTCATACATCTTCACACATACATTTAGTTGAATAAATCAATAAGAAGCATCGAAATGTGGTTTGAACACAGTTATTAAAGGATACTAGAGCATTTGTGTGTTTTCACTCCCAAAGTGGTCACATGACTATGCTATGGCGCCCGTATTATGGTGCCGGGACGGGCTGGAGAAGCGGCACATTGTGGCAGTATAGCTGAATGCTCGCTTTAATATTCAAGTATGAAACTTTTTCTATACATTGTTTTCGAAAAATGTATAAAATAAGGCTTTTTTGAATATTGAATTTCCAAATTAATATTCACTCCAGTGTTCTAGCTCCTCTGTATTTGAACCACATTCACAAACAATGCCTCACAAGGACCATGGTAATGTGGAAGTCCTGAGCAATTTCACCTCATGAGGGCATATTTCATACCACAAATGATTCATACAAACATTTTTATATGTTAATTTTAGGCTGCTAACACACTGCTTTGCACAATGGCTGCTTAGTTCATCTTATTTTTAAGTAGTAATTCTACTCTAAATATATATTTAAAAAAAAATATTTTTATCTATTTTTTAATAGATCAGATTAATTATTTCATCCTTTTACTCCGTCCTTGAATATATCTGCATATATTTGCATAATTTAAGGTCATGAGTTAAAGGATGATATTACTTTTTGTCTTACTTTTTCTAATTATCTTGTAACCATTGTCTAATCTTTTAGCTAATAAATTGTAAACTCTTTCTTCTTAACCTTTGCATCCTTCTAAAAAAGGTCAAAAAAGAAAGTGAATCGGAATCAGAGTCCAGTGAGGATGAAGAGGTTTGTGAACTTTGACCCTGACCCCAAGATTGTATGAATGTTCTGTCTAATGTTTGAATGTTTTGCAAATTTGATATTGCTCGCTTTTCGAGTTTGAGGTCTTTATAAATGTAGTATTTTTTCAACTTTAAGTTATAATTTTTTTAAGCGTAACGGTATGCGTCAAATTCTAAGAGCATGAATAATTATGTGTGTTGCTGATTTGGTATGAAAATTATTCTTTTATATACTCTTACTCTTATTTTAGTATATACCTCTATATTACCTAGCAGTTAATTTTTACATATATACAGGCATAATATTCCTCATACATGAATTGGATTTCTGATTTTTATCAAAAGTATAAATTCAAAAGGTGTTATTTCACTGCCATAGCATTTCAATAACATTACATTGTACAATATGTACTAGGCATCTTCTGTTGATCAAAATGCATAAAAAAGTAACTGAAGTGATTAAACCCCTTTAGTGCAACTGTGCTTTTGTTGTAGAAAGGAATTACTGCCTGTATATATTTTGATTTTCTACATGTTTTGTTTCACTTCAAGATCTAAATCTGAAAAAATAGATTTGTTATTAACGTTGAGTGTACTGTATTTTGATAATATTGACTTTATAAACTTAGTTTGTTATTTTTATTGTCTAGTTTATACGCACAATTTTTAGGGTAATGGGTAGTACAAATTTACTACTTGATTCAAAAAATTCTAAACTTCATCTTTTTCTCCACCGTCTTTTCCATCCCCTCTCCTTGTCCCATCCCCTCCTATCCTCTTTTTCACAAAAGAAACATCAAATTTTTGTTGAAATACAAACAGCACACAAACATAAAATGATGACATTAGGAAATCCAAACCTATCAAAGTTTGTTTAAATAATTATATGGGGTAACATAGTGCACCTTAGTGAAATCTACCGTAACTGCAGCACATAATCTGCTGGACATCGAAAGCTAAAATAAATGTCTTAAGTTAAATAAGCAACAAGTTACCTGCAACAATTTCATAGTTTATTTGCATATTAAATTCTTATCTAGTGCAATCACAGCATATTAATTATTAATTAAGCAATTACTATATGACATTAACATATCAAAAACATTGATTAATTGACAAGAGGTTTAAAGATAGGCATTTAGGAAGTGTTATTGTCTGTATGTATTCTGCTGTATGTGTAAGTCTTGTTCATTTTTTATTTACTGTAGTGCATAAACTTGGGCTGCCAAATGAACTTGTGGGAGAGCTACACAGTGACCTGTACCTTCACAATGTCTTACCTCTAAGGGACCTTCAAACAAATGTAGTTAAGACATGTGTCCCCCTCCCCATCCATTTGGTTTGCCATTTCTTTCCCTTTCCTTGGCAGGTCTATTGATGATTTCATTTTCCATTGCAAGTACAGTAGTTAAGGCATATGATTTAGGAATCTTACTTCTTTCAATACTTGCGCACATAGAATTCATCATCACCTTTGAAACATATTTTTTGCATGTTCGCAAAATTTATTTACACTTAAAAGTAGCTTTGAGTCTTTCAGATGAATTGGTTTATTTGGCTTTTTCTCTCACTTTGAATTCGTCACATTATTACAAAATTTGATTATTTGCTGTTGTACTATTTTGTTGTGAATGTATTGCTTTTATTATTTATATCGTTATGGATTTTGTGATATTTTAATTTGTAATATGTGGTTTTTGCATTGACTGATCAGTCAATAGATTAATTATTATTATTATCAATATACTTATTTGGCATTTCAAGATATTTGCTTGCTTGAAAAGAGAATAGAAACTTTAGCCAGAACACAAATATGCACTTTCCCCTCATTATTACACAATATAGAAAAAAAATTACAACACACTTATTTAATTATAGCTTGAATATATAGAAAAAGCAGTTTTGATTGATTGCTGGGACTGGTTTAATGCAGGCCACTGGTTGGCATAAAAATCGGTCGGAGGGCCAAAGTGAATTTTTGATTTAACACCGAGGGCCACACACAAACTTGATGTTTCCAGTGAGCTTCCAAAAACCTCCAAGCACTGCTTTTACACCACTTTATTCTCAGTTTTAATGTTACTTTTTACATATGATTGGTGTCAGACCGTAAAAAACAAGGTGTTTTCTAGCCAATTTTGATTGGCATGCCTCAAACATAGGGTTTTTTATTCAATGAAGCAGGTTACAAAAAAATAGCTGACGGGCCACACTTTGCCCATCTGTGGTTTTATGATTGGGAAAAAATGATAATGTTAAATGATTAATTAATTTAGTAATTAAAGTGATTGGTAGTGTGCTGCTAATGTAATATAATAGTGTGTGTTCCACTTATGCCCTTCATCCACTGCACATCATCCACTTGGAGTAGCAGCACTGTAGCAATAGCTAGGCTCTAGTAGTGTTCTCTTCCTGTCTTTGAATGCTAATGGTGGTGGGAGATGGACGCAGTGTGGATGGTGATAATTTTTATTGTTAAAGTACTAATGATATTTTATTCTGCTTCATTATTGTTATATTATTTAAATAATATTGTAGATTACTAGATTACTTAGATTAATAATAATAACTTTTGACATATTTAATTATTTCTTATTTGTTCATACAGTATTGCCTTGTGGGTATGATAGATAATTTCTCTAATTCATCCATTTTGTAGGCTACCAAAATGGTTGTGGTAGTTGGCATATATGTAGCTCATTAAATTCTAGTAAACTAACCCATTTTTTGTAACCATTTTTTTTGCTAATTACTTAATGCAGGAATACAGAATGGAAAAGGGCGAGGTAAATTCATTTTTCATTTTAACCAATTGTTTTGTGTTTTTGTTTTTATGTTAATTTTTGTTGTTTGGTTTACTAAATTTCCTAACACAAAATACCTATACCTACTAAGGAGAAATTTGAGTTAACCCTGTTGAATATTCATAACTACAAACTGGAGAAATGTATATGCAACTGAATCCTTAGAGAGGGTTTGTATATAACAAATGCGCATTCTAAAGCTGGGTGTAACTGTACACAGATTTTTTTTTTTTTTTGTCGGTTAAGCCGGGCACTTCGCCAACGATAGTCGAATGATCTTCAACCGACGAATCTATCTCCTCTCCCTCTCAGCGTTAGACGACTCCACGCTGTCTTCTGACTGTTTTTGGCAGTCGGAAGGGATCGTCATTAAAAACGATCTGTTGTGCGTGGCATTGCGTTCTTGCTACAATCGTGCTAATTTGTATATTCAATATTGCAAATTTGAATGCAAAGCCTCTCTATTTTTTTTACGGTAACATCACACTATAATCTTGACTGAAATTATTATCCTAATTTAAGGAAATTATTTTAAATAATGGTGTGTAATTGTGTTTCCATAATTAGTGCTTGAAATAATTATATTAAAAACGTCTTATTTTCTTTTATAAATTGCTGTTTTAATTTGTAAACCATTCCAATGATCACTAAGGTATATTTTCAAGGGTGTTTATTCTCAATTTTTTTCTACTCCATGAAATCCAGAGGGAGCTATTTGAAGAGGTAATGGTTTGAGGCGAATGAGTATACCGGATTGTGTATGTGTGCTGCCTCCCTAATGCATTTTCCCCTAGATATGATTTTAATATCAGTTTTAGAATCTTATTTTATTGAGTATTGTCACTGTTTTTTTTTTTTTTGGCGTCACTAATTGTGCCTCTTTAATGCTAGGAATGTTGTTCTTTATTTAACATGGTCTGCTTTTCGCTCCAGATTTATGGTCATTAACACAGATATGATTTATACATGTTCTATAGTTTCCTTATAATTACAGTATAGTCATTATAAAATTGCATCCAATTGAAACTTTATATTTTCTCAAATTTAGTTTATTTCCTTAATCCATTTTGAGGTTATTTTATCAGATTGTGAAAAAAAACCCTAAAATATATTTATAATATTATGCATTTCAAGTGCCAATCTGCATGTTGCACATAGTGTCCGACAAATACTATGTGCTAAACACCGGAGCTGCGATTTCATAGTTTGTGTTTGTACCCTGAAGTGATTATTAGGATGTTTAAGTTCTAAATATTCAATATGGCCTGCTTTTTGCTCATGGTTTGGTCATAACATCGATATGGTTTTTATGTTCTGCTATGATTTTCTATAACTGCAGGTATTACCATTATTAAATTTTATACAAATTCAGTTAATTTACTTATATGTATTCTCTTAGAAGAATTTTCTTTTTTCTCAAGTAAACCTAACAGCTTGACCCTTGTCTGATACGTCTTGTAGCTCCATTTTAGTTATATAGTTCTTTCCCTTTAAGTTTGATATTGTAATCTCAGAATTTTCTTCAATTACATTTTGAGTGTATCATTGGAATGGATTCTAAATGTATTCAGGGTTTGTTTTTTTTTATTTATTAGCATTGTATGTGTTTATTGTTAGCTTTGTATATATTTTTTGTTTATTGTTTGTACAGGAAATGAGTGTTTGTTGAAGTTATGCAATCCAATGCTTTGTGTTCTCTAGCTATCAGTTTTCAATCAGTTTGTGGCAGAATTGTATGTTATACCAGAAGGATGGGAAAATTTGTTTCTGTTATCTCATTGATGTGATAGTTTTGTTTGTTGATTTAGGATGTTGTCTCTATTTTGTCTAATGTATAATCATTTCCTTTCTTTGGTACTTTTGTCCGCTTAACAGAAGGAGCAACTAGGAGTTTTATCACAGGTATGCCCTTGTATAAACATCCATTTGCAGTGACAGATTCAAAGAGGGCACAGCTGGCCCTGGCTCCATCTAAATTTTGAAAAATTTAAAAAATGGATATAAAAAGAATAAATTATTATCAAATTTTTAAAGTCTTAGAGTGCCATTTCCGGCCATCTAGATGTGACATAATCATAAATGTTCTTACCTCATCTCCACCCATGGTGGTCCTGAGGTGGTACACCCACCCTCTATCTGTGAAAGTCCCTCCCTGAGCCCCCTCTATTATAAATTCCTGGATCCACCACTGATTTGTGCTCTTCAAATGACCAGTACCACATTTATTTGTTTGTACTATAGATTGTTATTTATATTTTCATAGTGTTAATATTTATTTCATCATTACAACATTCCCACCACTTTCATCAAGACTCGTCAATAACTAAATAAAAATAATATTAGTTTAATTGTAACTTAATTTCTCACTGGCAGACTGTACTGAAGTTTATTTTTACAGAAAAAACTGGAGTTGGCTTTTCTACAATTTTTTTGATATTTAAATTGTTTATTTCATTTTTTTGTGTAATGACAGCGAAACATCTACACCATCACTCAGGTTGATGAGAGTGATGAGTTCCTTTTAAATCAGGTAAAACACAGAATTCATGTGGTACACTTTGGTAGCATTGTGTCAGTAAAATATAGTGATACAGACAATACCAGCTTTTACTTATACCATATACTGTACTCCCAGTTGTTACAAGTTACTTTCATTATTTATATATTCCTATTTGTTAGCTGTGTCCTTGTGTATACAGAAGTATCATAGTTATATCTGTAAAATAATTGTATCACCGTATACATCACCATGTAGAATTTCAACTACATTTTTTCTAAAATTTAATACGCTGACTTTATCATCATTATATGAGCAGTTATTATGTGCCAGTATCTGTCGATATAGCATGGAATTACAAAATGTTAATTTTGAGCAAGAAGGCCCATGCAAGGAGGTATCCTTGTTTTAAAATTTTAAACTGGTAGTATACACAATTATGTGGACCTTCCATAGTCCATTCACAAATCATTTCCTCTGTTAGTCAGTGTGTTTATCCACCACTTTTTCTCAGTATTACAAATTAGTTTATTTCAGTTTCCTTCAAGATGTATTTTTAAAGTTTTTTTTTATTCATTGAGTGTCAGTTATAATGCCCAGATTCTCATTGTTTTTATTCAGTTGCTTTAATGCCTTTATTATTTATTTCAATTTGCACTTGTGTGAATCTCACATACTTTATACCACCAGTGAAGTTATATAACACTTTTTGTTATAATTGTGTAAATGTTGTTTAATATTTTGTCTACTGCTGTACTAATACAAATTGTTTTATAAGCAACAGTTCAAAGTTAATGCAGTGCAAGTGTGCATTGATTGTGCTTTTTTCTTCTAAGCCAATATTATTATTTCCTTTCATTACATTCTAGCACTATTTGAAAAACAGTGCATAAAACTCTATAATAATATCAAGGGCGGATTTGTGGGGGGAGGGGGGCCGACCTGCCCCCCCCACCCCCCTTTTTGGAAGTAAAAAAAGGGGGAAAAAAAGAAAAAGAAAAAAATGATAGTCCAAAAAGCCTCAAATGTTATTTTTGGGTGTCTAGAATACAAAGATTTTGCGGAGGCATGCCCCCGGGCCCCCAGAATAGTGTTGTCTCGATCGCCTTCCCACCCCCTTTCGGCCCCTCCTGTTGGACATCTCTGGATCCGCCCCTGACTATATTGGATTATGCTACTCAAATGTATTTCTGGTAAAATATGTTGTACTGGAAATGGAAATAAAAAAAATCATTATCATTTTAATACAAAACCATTATAATATTTGAAATGCATATTATGATTGAAGTTAATACAAATTATTAATCTGTTTTAAAATCCTAATAAATTGTTTACCAGTTATTTCACTTTACACTTAACTACAGATTTATGTTTTCTGTTAGCATACATCCTTATTTATAAGTAATAGGAAAAAATCATTACAGCATTGTAGCTTTACATCATATTTGCTTGGCATCATTAAGTCAATATCATCATATCTGTAAATTGATAAACATTTAAACTATTTGAAGAGAAAGAAAAAAGATTGTGTAAATATATTGATTTAAAAAAGCTATTGTCATTCCAATAAGTGGCAATGAACATATTAATATATTTAACCAACAACAAAAAACTAATTTGTGTTAATAACTAATACTAATAAATTGTTTTGTGTGCTTTACAATTGGTTCCATGCCAATATATATGTGTGCATTTTTTATGTCTTATCACAATATAAAGTAAATGTTTTTCACTGAAACCTGGTAGGTTACACCAGTGATTAATTGTTTGCGTACTGTTATGTATTGTGTTTGCAAAAGCATAGATAAAACCTTTTGTCAAAACATTGTGTTTATTTAGATTATAAAATGTATTCATCTATTATTTTTTTATTGTATTGTTTAATATTGTTGCATCAAAATTCATTTTCACAATATGTGTTTTTTAGGAGGCCGCTGCAAAAAATTTAAATTTTGCTTCAATAGCAGAGAGGAAAAAGTATTCATTCTTACAAGACCCAGTCATGAGTAAGTTACAATAAAAAAATTAATTGAAAAAATAATTTGGAAATATTATATATAACTTACATAAACCATTGTACAGTATGTATGTTGAAATTGTAGCTTAAAATTGCATAGTTATTAGCCAGTTCACCACCATTAAGGCACACTGGGAAAGTCTTTGGGCATTCAAGGGTTATCCTTGGTGTTTTGCACTGAAAAACCCAAAATGTCTTGTTTGTTTGTTGTCAAGATGGCCCTACTGATCAGCTGGCCTGGTTGAACTACCGACTAAGTTTTAATAAAGGTCTGAACATTGCAATGAATATGCCTGGAGAATATTGTTACAAAATACAATCTTCTAACTTAATGCAATGTTTTTACAAAAGGCCCAACAAGTTCACATATGAGAGCAGAGCTTAGACTAATGGATGTTGCTAAAAGGATAGGCACAGATTGGCAAAGGCTTGGCAGAGAACTCAAGGTGTTAGAGAAAGACCTCCAGACAATTGAGAATGAGAACGATGTAATTTCTGAGCAGGCATTCGTCATGCTTCATAATTGGTCAGAGAAGAGTGGACCTGAAGCAACATGTAAGTTCTAAACACAAATGTTCCTAATGAATTTAAAGTATAATATACTGTACTTTGATATATGTATATATGTCTGTTATGTTCCCAAAGACCAACATGAGACAATTCTTCTCTCTGTCACCCACATAATAAAGGAGGGTCTTGTCAGTCTCTCTACAACCAACAAACGTCTTGTTTGTCGCTACATTACCCCTCTATTGATACAAGCTTCTCTTTTTGTGTCCCTTCCTAACTAACTATTCTAAAGAGAACAATTTTTGTTATAGCGTTTTAATCGATAATAAACCAGGAAGAATGGGCCAGATGAAAATATTAAAATATTTTTGTATATTTTAGGTGAAAAATTGGAGGCTGCATTGCAAGCAATTGGACGAGGTGAGATTGCTGATGAATGTTTGGGTGAATTCATCTCACTTGATGTCACAATTGAGCAAGAGGAAGAGAAGGAAAGGAGTTCACCAGAAGAGGAAACAAGTGAGTAATTTCTTATATTGTTTTAACACTAAAATTCAATAGTTTATTTACTTTATTTATTTATATGCAACAAAATATTTTCCATATCAATTCATTATAATACCAATCCTTCTATTCTTATTCTAAAATTGACTAGTTATGAATTTTATGATTTTAATAGTTAATTTTGTAAATAAGTGATAACCTAATGATTTTGATACATATCTTATTTGAAGTTAAGTTTTTTATCTTAAAATGAGTAATTTAATGATTTTTAAAGGATTTTCTAAATTTGTATGTATCTTTAATATACTGGGTAATATTAATTTTCTTATATGGTGTCTTGATAATTAAGATTTTTATTTGTTTCCTTTGTTTTTAGATAAATTTACAGAAGAAAATGAAGCTGCTGCACAAGATGACATCATGAATGGGGTAATGACCAACCCCTTCTTCCACTCAATTGACAATCCAATTCTGATTGTGTCTTAGTCTTCTTAATAGTCTAGCATGTTGTGTTATTTATGTGAAAATCATTACTCTCTAAAAACATTTGTTTTATTTTTAGTGTTGATGTAGTGAAGTAATGTGTCGTATCTTGTTTGGTTATCTGTCAGTTGGAGCTGAGATAATGACCGAATTCCTTCATGCTAATGAACCTTAATTGTAATTAACAAGATTTTTTAATTAGCATGTTGTGTGAACTGATGAAGTGGTTCTCGGAGTAGTGGAGGTTTTTCGCAGTTGTTGATAAAGTTCACGTTGTGTTGAATTTGGCTCTGATTTTGAGCAAAAGTGAAGAGTATGAGGCTGTAGGTAGAAGTGTGATCAGTTATACAGTACAACAGAAAATACCAGCATTATTATCCACCCATTTGCCATTCCTTCCCCTTCCCTCTAGTTCCCTCTAGTACCATTCATAAAAACATGAAAACAATTTTTTAAATCATGTTTTACATTTCTTTTCATTTATATTAATTTATATTCAGTTTGTGATTAATAGATTAATATTTTTGTGTTGTACAATTTTTTTCTCACCAAGATTTTTTTTTTACATTTTGTGTGCTGCACATCCATTTTTCTGGCATAAACTAACTTTTGCCAAGATCAGTGACTTTTATTTGATTTTAACTTATCTGCATCTTTCTCGATACAAGTTGGTTTGTGATTTATCTTATATTCTCTATGTTCTACATATTTCCTTTTCATCCTCTCTGTTGTAAATTATGTTTTTGTTTATTTATTTACCATTTCACACCATTAAAGATATTTATAAACATTCTACATATTACACACAATATAGTAATATGCTTCTATTATCTTCTTGGGTTACCTCATACCCATATTCTTAACATCTTGCTTTTGCAATTCTTAGTTTTATATATTTTTTATCAATATTCATTTTATCAAAAATCTACCTTTAGCTTTTGCAACTTAATATAATGTTAATCTGTATTCCAAATCTTTTCCTATTGTTCAATCAGCTATCACATTTTCAATTAAATCAACTTCATTTTCTACTCTCGTTTTCCTCTTGCTCTCCCAGTATTTCTTTATTTTTTTATTTTTATTTTTTTATGATTTCATTCCTCTGTTAGCTGGTAGTATAGTTGTAGCTATGTGTAGTAGAAGTAGAATGATATTTGTGGTTTTCCTGATTGCATGCTCCTGCTCCTGTATCTGGTGTTACCATGTTTCACCAATAACAAAAATAATAATGGACTATTTCAGAAATTTTATTGAAATTGACTGTTCAAAATATAGCCGTACATTTTGGAGGATGTGGCTGTGGTTTGAATTGAAGGTGTTTACCTCCCTATCCCAGGTTCCTGGGTTCAATTCCTACGAAGAGTCTTGGTTTAAATCTTTGAAAACCTCAAATTATCAGTTTGTAATTGAAGTGTTTAATGTGAATGTCATAAAATGCTATAAATAAGACTAATTCTAAATACTGAAGTTACTTATGACTAAACATATCTTCGCATAAATATTGCATTTTGTAACATGTTGTCCAAACTGGCTCATCAACTAATTTCTAAACACAAATTTCTCAAATTGAATCAATTTTTTTGTAGATGTTTCCACCTTTAGATGTGGCCATGCATGTTGGCACCTTTATAATTTGCAACATTTTCGTAGACTTAGTGTTATTTTTGTAATCATTAAAAACTACAGAATGCAATTATTTGAAAATGAATGGATGTATCATTTTTAATCTCTTTTATTATGGATTAATTGATATGAAATTAAAGATTGAACTTTTTTATTAGACTAATTTATTTTGAGTGATTTAATCTGATCCTTAAATTAGTGTTTATTATTTAATTAAAACTTTTACACTTTTTGGCTAATAGAAATTCAAATTATGAATGTTGGTTAGGGACCAGTCCTTTCAATCCCAGGCTCCTTGGTTCATATCCATTACCTCTATTGTCTGATCCTTATGCTTAGTTCACAAAGCATCTATTCCAACCCATTAGTAATGAGACTTGCTGTTGGACAAGGATGTACAGTAAAACAAAATTAAATCTGTTTGCCTCTTTATTTAATCTAGTTTTTCTTATATTTCTTTATATTTGTATTTCCTCCCATATTTAAAATTCTTGAAGTTTATGTAATCCATGCCGTATGTTTGCTCAATGTAACCAAAAATTTCATAGCAGAATTGGACCAATACCCTTGCCTGATAAATGTAATTAAGTTTAAAAGTAATTAGTTTTTGTTTAGTAGCTTCAATCACACATTCTTCCATCTCTGGTTTTCTATGGGTCTGTAATTCTAATGAATATTCATCGTCTCTCTCTCTTTCTCTGCCTATCCATTCTTTCTTTCTTCCATTTACTAACATTCAAAGCAGGAGGAGGTGACTGAGACGGACTTAAATCGTGATGCTGCCCTCTCGCAGGTATTTACATTTCTGATCGTTAGCCTACTTATGCAGACTTTGAACTTTAGCCTAATCTTACAAGACTATTAGCAGCTTAGTTTAAATGAACAATTTATTTTAAAATATTGTGACATGATAACAAGTATCTTCACTTATTAAAATCCCACTATAACAATATTATTTCCTTTTTTAAAAAACTTATCATAATACAATACTTGAATGGTTCCAATTTTTAGTGATTATCATTATAACATTTTTGTATCTTTCATAACAGATAAAAATAGTTGTGTAGCCTTGTTAGTTATACAAAATTATGACGCAGATTGCAGATATATACTGCTTTGTATAAACATGAATATTTATCAGTTAGCTCAGATGTTTTTAAACTGTTGTGATGTTTTATATAAATCCAATGTTTTTCCCAAGGCAATTTGTGAAATATTATTTGTATTGTATGAGAACAGAGTTCAACTTGTTATAATATATACAGAATATTTGTTATTCCTGTGTCATTTTATACCATTCATAAATAATGCCATTTAAATTTTAGGAGGCTACTGAACAGAAGCTGCTCCAAGAGGATTCTAAACCAAAGCATGCTTTAGATACTCAGGTACTACACAAACTCTATGAGGCCAAAGGTCATTTATTTTATAGTCCACCATTGTACAACATAATAATCCCTATAGAAAGCATGTCTACTATTACAATACAGTAATGATAACAGTTCTTTTCACAAATTTTGCTTGGTCTGATAAATCTATATTTTATTTTAAGTAAGTATTATAGCTGTGAAACTGTAAGCCGTAAGTAGTTTGAACATCTAAAAAGAAGTGATGTAGTAACCAATGCCTAAATTATTTTTTTTATGAACAAATTTTGTTGTCATTTTTATAGGATGAACTGTACACCGATCGTGACATGCAAGAGGCACTGACAGAACCCTATGCTCCTGTAAGTTGATCTAGCGATAACAAGATTGTTACATGTATCATACTGCTGTAACCTACAAATAATGAAAATGATAGTGTCACGCTTAGTACATTTTACAAAAGTCTCAATAGACTTTACAACAGCAGAAGAAAGTTAAATAAGGAATTAAAATAAAATAACATACTGCAGCTCTTAACATATTCATGTTTTCTTTTATAGGAGCAGATTGATGAGCTTGATGAAATGACACCTGCAGAAATATATGAAGTAAGTTATTTTAATTTTTGCAAATGAATAACCTTGATTGTATTATGATGGTGGTGGAGGTAATGTGATGATATTGTGCATGGTCATAATGAATTAGTAATTCATAATAGCAAACAAAAAAAAAAAATTCTCGTGTCACCTTGTATTATGACTATATTATGCATTTCTTCAGGAAATCAAAGAAGAAATTTGGGAAAAACATGAAGAAGAGAGACAAGAAATGGTTTTTGAACCAGAGTTTGAGACAGTTGTAGAAGCACAGGAGGTGAGTGACATTCAATATGCATATGGCAAAGGTACTAGAAATACAAGATAGAGTGCTCGCGTAGCAAAAGTGAGGCAAATACACAGTACACACTCTTTAGCTAAGTAAATCCAGGCGTACACAGTGCTCTTCTTTTTCGGCTAATGATGGAAACTTTATCACTAATCAGAGTCCGGTCATGCGATTCTGTGCTTTTGTGTCTTATATTATTTTTTTAATTTCTTTATGCCTACTTGTTTGTATCTTATGGGTGGCAACGATTTCTACCTCCGCCCAACGGGCCGCCAAAAGAGGTTATCCTTGCGTTTTAGCTTCCAACCCAAACAAACATAGTGGACGTTTCCGCTAAGCCCCGAAATTTGGATGTTGTTGCAAAGGTCTCGCAAAAATAAACTCATACATGCATGTGTTTGTCAGATAACACATGTGTTTTCCTGGCCCTGTGTTGATTGGTTAGTGATTGGTTAGTAGTTATTTTAATTGAAACTCTGAAAAGTTCCATTATAGTCAACTTTGCCTAAAATGGTTATTATATTATTAATATTTGATTTTTTTTTTAGGAAGAAATATTAGAAACTGATCAGCAAGAAGAACCAAAGTCTTCAGAAATAGTTATTGCCGAGGTATGAACATTTTCAAATCAAATCAAAACACAAAATGATACAATACAATATTAATAGCAAAATGTAAACAAGCTGTTGGTCCTTTGGTCTGGCAGAAATGGTTAGACATGTAAGTTATTGGGCAGTTCTAACTTTGATTAAAGGTTTTTTTTTTTTTTAACATCTTTGATAACCATTTAATATGTGGTTAATTGTACAAAGCGTGTAAATATAAGCATTAACAACTGGCTGTTTCTTCTGAATCGTAACACATTTTATGAAAGTTTAAACTTGAAAACTAATGTTTTTATGATATGAATAACTGTTGTTAATAACCAATAACTGCTGTTTGTAACCAATCCAATTTTTTTTATATTGATGTGGGTTGTTAACACATAAATAATTCATTTCTTCGATGCTGCTTTTGTGGACAAAAGAATCAGGAATCCTTTAAGACACAGATGGTCAGATCAGAAAAAGTGCAGGACTTCCCAAGCAAAAACGAATCTGATTTTACTGCATCAATAAGGCAGGAACACAATTTGGCCTTAGACCTGCCTTCTCCAGGAGAGGAAAAGGCTGCTCAAGAGTATCGGTCCCCAATTGAAAAAGAATCTTATAAGGAGTCCAATAGGTCTCCCAGTGACAGACAATTATCACCAGAACAGTTAAAACATGAGGATCTATCACATGATTATTCACCAACATCACACTCATTTACAAAGTCAGTTAGTTCTGATGATGTTGTGCAAGATGTGTCAGAGAAATTTGAGAAAGAAGACAAAGAAATTGTGAGCTCAATGACAAAGAAACAACCTGGTGAGAAAAGAATCCAAATAGATTTTGAGAATGAGAATTTTAATAGAGAGACTACCAATTTGAGATCTGAATATAGTGAAAGTGCATGGTCTGTTGATTATTCTGAAGATACCTCTGTTAGTTGCTCTAGAGAAGACAGAACTGTGTCTATTGTTAGTTCAGAGCCACATTCTGCTGATGGCCGCTCTGAGTCAACGGTTGAGGATGTTGAAGATCAGTCAACACTTGAGGATGTTGAAGATATTCCTCAATTTGAATCAGAAGGCGATGGCCAGGATCATAAATTTAGTAAGATAAACCTTAAAGATCAATCTGATTTTGCTTCAGTGACAAAAGTAGAGGAAGATGCCCCCAAGGATTTTAGCCCATGTTGGCAAAAAGACTTTTTGAAAAAAGGAAAAGCTGTTGAGGAGGAGATTACAGTTAAACAGCAGTCAATTGATGAAAGTATTAGTGCAGCATTCCGTCCAACTCCCTTGTCTAGCCCAGAAGATGAGGCTTCAATTAACAGGCTTGGTTCTGGAAAAGCAGAATTATTTGTGGATGAAAGCAAAGTGGTGTTAGAGGATGCTGAAGTGAAAGAGCCCTATCCTATGTCTTTTTCTAGGCCTAATGTTGGTAAACTGAAAGCACTATTTGAACCCAAATTGGAAGACGTTGATCGTTCTGGCAAGAAAATTAAACCTAAGTTACCAAAGGTAAAAAAATTGGATTCTGTTTCAACTCGACAAATTAATCCAACTGTTGCTGCTAGGAAATCCTTTGCTAATGATGATGTTGAAAGTGCTTCAAAAGTTTTGTTAAGCTCAACAGAAGAAACAGTCTTGGATGAGGTTTTAATCAGTAGAAAAGAGGAAGAGATAAAAGCAGATACAAAAGAGTTGACACCACAACAAGTTGATGGGAAACAAATGGAAGTAGTTACACATGTTATGATGCCCCAGCAAGACACAATTGATGATTATAGGAATTTGGTTTCTTCTACCTCAAAACCAACATCCTTAGACAAAGATGTAGACACAGTTGCTGCTCCAATAGATAGTTGCAAAGAAACAGAAGTTAGAGGTTCTGAAAATGCTCAGGCTGAAAATATTGGAAGCTCAATTGTTTATAAGCAAAGTCTAGTTAAAGAGGCTTGTACATTTGAAGAGCAAATGATTGCCTCTAAACCTGAGGAGGCATCACCAAAAAGTCCATTAGTTGATATGAGAAAAAGACATGTTATTGAAGAGTCTATCATTGCAAAGCAAAGCTCAGTTGATGAAAATGTTAATTCTGTTTTTCGTGCTGGCCCAATGGCTCTCTCTAGCCCAGAAGATAAAATAGATATTGCAAGTTCAGCTTCTGCAGAAGTCACTGATGTTAAAAATCAAGACTACTCTGTTGGAACTGATGATGGTATGACTATAAAAGGGGAGGACATTCCTCATAAAGAGATTGAGCCAGAGCAGAAAACTCAGGATGATATTCAGGCTACAAAAGATATTCTGACTAACAAACGAATTTCAACTGAAAAAATAGAATATTCAGAAACTACTATTGTAAGGTCGGATTTTCAGGCTACTTCAGATTTTAAATGTGATTCTGATGAGCGAATTTCTACTCAAACGATTGAAAATTCTGAAATTCCTTTAATGACAAAGACCAAAGAAAGTGCCATCAGTTCCAATGTAGGCTTTGAAGAAAGACAGGAAACAAAATCTAGTGATAGTAAAGAAGTTGAGCTTGCAATTCTATCCCCTGAAGCATATGAAGGCCAAAGAACAGATCAGTCTGAAGAATCTATCTGCACAGTTGGAGAAACCAGCAAAGTTCAAACAACAACAGAACACTTTTTAGTGGCGTCACAAACTAATATTTCCAAGTTTTCTCATAAATCTATTTCTGAAAGTGATGTAAGAACCTTTGAAAGTGATATTACCTCAGATAGTTTTAAAGAGAATGTTGCTAAGTCTAATATTAATATCAAGAAGGAAAGCTTCATTGAGAGTTCCATGACAGATGACGATGGAAATATATTGCCAATCATGAAGCATGTCTCTGAATCAGTCGATCATGAAGTTAGAGATACAGATGAATGTGTGACACAGACTATCACAAAAATTGGTATTGAAAATAGTGACCTAGAACTGCAGCTGGAATCAGTGGAAGGTGACAATTCTGATGTAGCTACTGATAGAACTTCCATTAAAGATGAGCACCCTTCCATAGATGACCAGGCTGTTGATATAAAAGAACCTATTATCAATATGGTTTCTCAGGCACAAGATGAATTGCCTAATCAGGATTTAGAACAGTACCCCGAGTCAGTGGAAGTTGATAGTGCTGTATACGAGGAAATAAAAAAAAGTGAGGATGATGCTAAAATTGATGTTGATGAAACTGTTGAAAAACTTGAATATCCAGAATCTAAAGAGATTCATGATGTGACTATTGTAAAGAAGGTTGATGCTACAGTTGTTGAGAAAGAGTTTTTGGAATTTGAAAAAGATGAATATGCTGAGTCTGAAGAGGCTAATGTTTTTACTGTTGAAAGTGATGTTGATGCCTCAGCTAATGAAGAAGAATTTTTGGAATCTGAGAAGGATCGGTATCCTAAAGAGATTGATGATATATCTGCTGAAAAGGAGTTTGATGCTGTAGGTGTTGAAGAAGAGTTTATACAATCTGAGTGGGATCAATATCCAGAATCTGAGGGGATAGATGGTGTAACTGGTGTAAAGGAGATTCATACTGCAGTTGAGAAAGAAGATTTTGTGGTTGTTGATGTAGTTGTTAAAGAAGGGTTCATGAAATCTGAGGATGATCAACATCCAGAATCAGGAGGAAAGGTTGATGATGTAGCAGTTGATAAAGAAATTGATGCTAAATTTGTGTTCATGGAATCTGAACAAGATCAGTATCCAGAATGTGAAGAGGTTGAGGATGTAACTGTTGAAAAAGAGGTTGATGTTGCAGTTGAAGAGCAGTTCATGAAATATGAGGATGATCAATATCCAGAATCAGGAGAGGTTGATAATGTAACAGTTGAACAAGAAAGTGCTACATTTGTTGAACAAGTGTTTGTGGAATCAGAACAAGATCAATATCCAGAAACAGAAGAGATTAAGAGTGTAACTGTTGAAAAAGAGGTTGATGATGCAGTTGTTGAAAAAGAGTTCATGGAATCTGAGGATGATCTATATCCTGAATCAAGTCATGTTGATAATGTCACAGTTAAAAAAGAGGTTGATGCTAAAGCTGTTGAACAGCTGTTAGTGGATGTAACTATTGAAAAGGAGGTTGATGATGAAGTGGGGTTCATGAAATTTGAGGATGATCAATGTCCAGAATCAGGAGCGGTTGATGATGTAACAGTTAAAAAAGAAATGCATGCTACATCTGTTAAACAGGTGTTTGTGGAATCTGAACAAGATCATTATCCAGAATGTGAAGAGGTTATAGATGTAACGGTTGAAAAAGAGGTTGATGCTGCAGTTGTTGAAGAAGAATTATTGAAATCTAAGGATGATCAACATCTAGAATCATCAGAGGTTGATGATATAACAGGTGAAAAAGAAATTGATGCTACAACTTTTGAACAAGTTTTTGTTGAATCTGAGCAAGATCAATATCCAGAAAGTGCACAGGTTGAGGATGTAACTGTTGAAAGAACTGCAGCTGTTGAAGAAGAATTATTGAAATATGAGGATCATAAACATCTAGGATCAGGAGAGGTTGATGATATAACAGATGAAAATGAAATTGATGCTACATTTGTCGAGCAGGTGTTAGTGGAATCTGAACAAAATCAGTATCCTGCATGTGAAGACATTGTGGATGTAACTGTTGAAAAGGAGGTTGTTGACGAAGAAGAGTTCATAAAATGTGAGGATATCCCATACTGAAGCATTAGTGAATCTCTCTGCTATAATGCAGGATCAAAGTGAGGAAGTTCACTTATCAGATATAGAAAGCTTAACTAGTGAGCATGAGTTAGCTGATGAAGTGATAGATGCACCAAAAATAGGAGTTTGTGATGAACTCCCTAACCCTGCCATTGACCAACATCCTGGCCATGTTGAACCTTTTGATGATGGTGATGAATTACTTCAAGTAGATGAATGTCATGAAAAGGGGAAAAAGGTATCTGTTGATATTGATCTGTCTCTTATACACATCTAGATGTGTATAAGAGACAGGAGTCGGGGGATGTTGATGTA